CCTCGTCTAGTACCAAGTATGTTGTACGCCGTAGGTTTGTCTTGTTTGCTTCAAGGAAGTCAATAAGACGCCCTGGTGTTGCAATACAAATCTAAAGAGAAACAATGAAAATAATCAGTGTTTGGGGGAGAAATAATATAAAGTCAAGTAATATAGTAATACAGTATAACTGAAAAACTGCCTGTAAGTGAAGATCATTTTTTTTTAAGACATCATAGTAATAGAGCACTAGAGGCACCCAGGTCAACTTCAAAAGGTAGCATCATTTATCCTCCTAACACTTTATTGCACCGCGCGCGCGAGACCTGCACTACCCCGGGTGGGCCTCAGCTTTTCACGGGAGCGCGCGGTTATTCTTTAAAGTGAACGTGATCCCTTTTCAACTTTGTCCCCTCAATTCTCGTTCAAGGTTTTTCAATTTGATATCAATGTGTTCGCAATAGAATTCTCTACAGGACTAAAGGCACATAAAGCCCAAAAGCCCGGCGTACCATCCACAACAAACAGAGAAAGTGAGTGCGTGTTACCTGGGAGAGCCCAAGAGCGATAAAATGTGTACACTCTTTTCACTTTTGTCACCTCAATTCCCGTCCTAGGGCTTTCATTTTGCTATCATTGTGTTCGCAATAGAATTCCCAACAGGAGTACATGCATATAAAGTAAAAAAAAAACGCGGGGCGCTCCACCTGCCGACAAGATGAAAGTGGCCCAAAAAGAGAACACTGCGCCACCCCAAGGCACCTCTCATTACATTAGAGCGCACGGTAATACTGAACAGTGTATTCTCTTTTCCACTTTGTCATCTCATTTTTCGTCCTAGGTTTTTCAAATTTGGTATCAATGTGTTTGCAATAGAATTCTCTACCAGACTAAATGCATATAAAGCCCAAAAGCCTAGCGAGAAAGTAAGAGCGTATTACCCAGAAGCAAGCAAGAGCAATAAAATGTGTACACTCTTCACTTTGGACATCTCAATTCTCATCCTAGGTCTTTCATTTTGGTAACATTGTGTTCGCAACAGAATTCCCTACAGGAGTATATGCAAATATAAAGTCCAAAAGCTAGGCATACCACCCACAGCAAACAGAGAAAGTGACTGAGCGTAATCCCAGTGAGTACTAATAAAATGGATACTGTTTTCAACTTTGTTACCTCAATTCTGGTCCTAGATCTTTCATTTTGGTATCAATGTATTCACAATGAAATTCCCTACAGGAGTACATGCATATAATATCCAAAACCACGGCGCGCCCCTCCCGAAGCAGCCACCAATTTGCCGTCACCGCCGACGCAATGCTGTGTCGTTATTGGAAATGCGTCTATTAAAAAAACGACGCAATGCCGAGTTGTTACCGAGCGAAAGTGTTAAGTGCCACTGGATACATACACAGGTCTACACATGCACAAAAAATAAAATTACACAAATTATTTTTCCTCAGAATGGAAATACATTTGGATATAAAATATATGGAAAATTGGAAATAAACTAAAAAAACCAGCGTTAAATGTAATGAAACGCCATTTTCTGGGCGAGACCCAGAGGCTTCCCGGAGTTATCCAGGCTGATATGTAACTTAGCTTTCTAGCATTAGTCAAAGTGCATGGGAACTACATTCCCATGGAACTACGAGCCAGAACCTGGCCCCCCTTACAGAGGCGCAAGGAGCAATGGCCTATAGAAACCCCCATGTGGTTGGAAGCATTTTTTGTCTGCCATCGACCAGGTCTGGCACCCAGAAAGGGGACAAACTGCGAAAAAGCAACTGACGAGTGTGTTGCCCTGAACCCAAGCAGTGCTCAGGGCGATTCCCGCGCTGACCAGAAAATGGAGGCGAAGGCAGCGCCCGCCCTGAAGCAGGCACCACTGACCCCCCACAGTGAGAGGAACCCTGAGCCCTGGCATAACCCATACGGGAAGGCCCTACAAGCCCCCCCCCACCCTCTTGGAGAACCAACAAGACGAACATAGGATGGCAACTAGCCAAAGCCGCCTGCAGATACTGCACAACCGCAGACTCTGCAAACGGCAGCGGACAAAAAAGGCAAAGACAACCAAGTGCCAGGGCCTAAGCAAAACCAAGGAAGAAGCAAGCACTGCCAGCTGACATGTGAGCCGTGAAGCAAAAAATTACAAAACCGCATCCCACAGGAGCGGCACAAATGGTGTCAACAATGCAGACGACGCACACATTGCGACGGCAACGCACCAAACCCAGAGGCGGCCCCAAGCACCTCTACATCTAACCCAAACCAATCCGATAACAGCTCGAGGGTGAAGAAATGCAGCGCCAAAGCTAGCAGGCCATGAGTATGCAAGTCCTCTGTGACCAAGGCAGCCAAAAGGGAAGGAACCTGCACATGAAGCTGCACCACATCCAACATCCCGCGGAAGGGTAGGGGTAAACAAGACGCATGGAGATGCTCAAAGTCGCCCCCCCAGGAACCTGCAATACCATTGGAGCCTTCCCCCACACAAGTGCGCAGAACATGAGCATAGCATCCAATGAAAAGAGTGGGCAGTCTGCCAAGCAGGACAACTCCAGAACTCATAACGATTCGAGTACCGACAGAGGTCCATACAGTACACGAAAGCATAATCCAGGTCGCGCAAGAGGTAAGCCGCAAGGGCTACCCGCACCACATGAGAAGGGGCATGGGAAGCCAAAAACCTCTGGAAGACGGACCAAGGAAGCTACAGGAACACGGAACCAAATCCGGGGAGGGGTTGACGCCAAATCCAAATCGTACCTGGAGGGAATGAAAGATAACCCCTCTCCATGTAACAACAAGCCCTGCTCCAAGGGAACAAAAAATCCAGATGGGGTCCAATGGGGTCCAAAGCCCACAAGTCAATCCCTCCCGAGGACCCGGAGCCGAGCCATCCCCTCCAAAGCCCCGGCTGGCCTCACAAGAAAAAGCTAGGGCAGCCAAAAAATCACTAAGGAAGGGTCAGACCCATATGCATTGGCAGGAGGAACAGGCTTGAATGCCTCCGCTGCCATCCCGGAAGGGGACACCCCTGAAACTGCCCGAATCTCAACACCAACCAGACCCCGCCCCACCCCTAAACCCACTCACAGGTTGGAGCCGGAAGCCAGGGATGGCCGGGAGACCAGATGCACAACAAAAGGGGAAGGAAGGGTGGAAAGCACAAAGACGAAGCAACTCTCACCCTCAAGTCCGGGACCTGAAAACCAAAACAGCAGTTTTGGGGCATCCAGGGAAGCGACCGACACATCGCGTTGCAGCAACAGAGCTCAGTATTCAATGTAGCTGCTGCCTGCACCCCCAGATCATGATTAAAAGCGAGGGAGAACAGCACACACGAACAACAACGTCACATGACTCCGGGTCAAAAGAACCACTGACCCAACAGGCAGCATGGCAGAGGCACAACTAGTGAATGTCACCCTGAGACAAAAGGATAGAGCAACCAACAACCTCACACACAGCGAGAAGGGACTTGAGGGTCACATCCAACAGACCACGGAGTCCCCGCGGGGTTTCCCAGGGCCCTTAGCCTCAGCGACACGTTAACACTTTCATCTGGGCTGGTTTTAAAATGCGCACCTATCGTGATGGAGCAACCTCAGTGCAGCAGGTAACTGTCAATAAGCCGAATGCAATCTGTGACTACAATACAAAGATGAAAGGTGTTGATCACTTTGACCAAAGTATCTAATATCATTTCACAAGGAAAACTCACAAATGGACGAGGAAAATTACCTTCTATTTTGTGCAAATGGCTATCTACAATGCTTATGTGATGTACAACTACTACACAACATATGGAAGGACTCCACTAAACACATGTGGGCAGGAATTGAGAGTGTAGCTGGAAGGCGTCTGGGCACTCACTCACGGCTAACGCGTGGCCCGTCTTCAACTCGTCGGCGGGTGGAGCGTGACCAGGTTTTTTATTTTATATGCTAATATTCCTCTAGAGAATTTTATTGCAAACTAATTGATACCAAAATGAAAGACCTAGGACGAAAATTGAGGTGACCAGAGCGAAAAGAGTGAACACATTTTATCGCTTTTGCGCGCTCCTTGGTAACTCGTTCGCACTTTCTCTGTTTGCTGCGGGTAATCAGCCGGGCTTTTGGAGTTTATATGCATTTAGTGCTGTAGAGAATTCTATTGCGAACACAATGATACCAAATTTAATTTCATAAGTCGAGAATTGAGGTGACAAAGTTGAGAAGAGTATACACTTTTCAGAATTACCAGGTGCTCCCGTGAAACGCTGGGACCAACATCGCATAGTTGAGGGGTGGCGCGGTGGGTGTGTGTTAAAGTGTTAAGGGAAGCCCAGGCAGGGTACTGCAAACCGGCGCCCGAAACTACCAAGCAAACTTCTAAAAGCTGAACACCCCAGAAAGTGTCCACTCTCGGGGGCCTAGCAGAGGGTACCACCAAGAACACAGAATTGACTAACAAAAGACCTCCCCAAAAGCCAGACACCCGAACTGCCAGTATTACATCAGCCAAGTACTGCTGATTGGATCACCAGCATGGGGGGGTCTGGGGCTCCCCCTCCAGTGATGTAATGAAACACCATTTTCTGGGCGAGACCCAGAGGCTCCCCGGAGCTTACTAGGCTGATATGCTAATGTCAGACTTTGGCATCAGTCATGTGTATGGAGTTCTGTGGGCCTACCGGGGACCACGAGCCAGAACCTGGCCCCCCCTCAGAGAGGCATGGGGAGCAATGGCCTATAGAAACCCCCATGTGGTTGGAAGCATTCTGTGTCTGCCATCAATTGGGTCAGGCACCCAGAAAGGTAAGCATCCCAAAACAAACCCCTATTCTGTTGAAAATATTGCTACCAAAAGCCGAACAAGTGGATAGAACTCTCCTAAAAGAAACGAGCAAACAAGCATGACATCACACGTCGCCACGCCGCTGTACTCAAATATGCTCAAACCACATACCCCTAAGAAGGGGTATGTAGATAAAAGGAGGAAGAGATGCAGATTGGAACGGGAACGGCGTTCCCTATATAAGCAAAGAAAATAAATTGCGGAACAACTTGAGTCACATCTTATCTCAAGAATGACGAAGAAGGCTAGATAGAGAAATAGAAACAATTAGACTAAAGCTACAGGAATTATACAAAATCCAGGAGAGACAAAGAGCAAAAGACCATCAGTGAAAGAGAGAAATCTAAAATATTTGTTCTATGCAAAATCAAGCTCAAAAACTACATCTAGTATCGTGCCCCTGTGAAAGGGAGATGGAACCTTCACAGATGACAACAAAGAAATTAGTAAAATACTGAGGAATCGGTAAGACTTTTCAGCAAGCCACTAAACACACTGAAGATTGATAACCGAAATGAATTTCTCATTGATGTGATACCAACATCAAATCATATATCATATGTCACCCTATCACCACTGGATTTTGAAGAAGCCATAGACAGTATGCCTATGCACTCTGCACCAGGCCCTGATACTTGGAACTCTACATTCCTCAAGAACTGGAAAAAAATCAGTACTGCAGGCCCTTTAGACACATTCTTTGGAAACAAAGCCTAAGTACAGTACTGGCATTATCCCTGACATATTGAAAACAGCAGAGATAGCACCACTGCATAAAGTAGGAAATAAGACAGAGGCAAAATAAAATCCAGACCAATAGCACTAACATCACACTTCATAAAAAATCATTGAAAGAAAGCTAATAGGTAAGATCACAAAATATGTGGAATCACAGCATCTCCATAACCCTTGACTACATTGTTTCAGAACAGGGCGCTCTTGCCTATCACAGTTGCTGAACCACTATGACACGGCTTTTGATGCCATGGAAGACTAGCAAAACAGTGATGTAATTTAAGCAGATTTTACAAAAGTGTTCGACAAATCTGACCATGGTGTTATTGCACACAAAATGTGTTCAAGAGGAATTACTGGAAAAATAGGCAGATGTATCTACAATTTCCTGACTAACAGAACCCAATGTGTAATAGTGAACAAAATAGAATCAGGACCATTCAACCGTGAGGTGCTCAGTCCCCCAGGGTACTGTGTTTGCTCCAGTACTTTTTCTCATCCTCATATCGGACACAGACAAGGACATAATCTATAGTACCGTATCATCCTTTGCAGATGACACTAGGATTTTGTTGAGAGTAGACAACATAGAGAGCACAGCAAACCTCCAATCAGATGTAAATCAGGTCTTTCAATGGGCTACAGAAAATAATATGGTATTTAATGAAGATACAGTAAGTTCCAGCTCCTGCGCTACGGAAAAAATTAAAGCATAAACATGGAAACCACATACAAAATACAGTCAAATCATATCATACAGAATGAAAAAGCATTGTAAATGATTTGGGTGTACTCATGTTGGAAGACTGGATAACAAAACCTTTCAAACTTGAGACACTATACCTATACCAATGATACTTTTCAAGTCACTAGAGCTCTCTAGAGTGGAATGCTGTTGCACAATGACAGCCCCTTTCAAAGGTGGAGAACTTGCTGACCTGGAGAGCATGCAGAGATCCTATACTGCTAGAATCCACTCAATAAAACATCTACTCAGCATCCACTCAGCATCAGAGGCCTAATCTAAACTATTGGGACCGCCTAAAATGCCTAAATCTGTATTCTCGAGAATGCAGGCGGCAGAGATACATAATAATTTACATGTGGAAAAATATTAGAGGGGCTGGTCCCAAATCTGCACATAGAAATAACATCACACGAGAGCAAAATGCATGGCAGGATGTGCAGAATACTCCCATTGAAAAGCAGAGGTGCAATAGATACTCAAGAGAGAACTCAACATCAGAGGCCCGAGGCTGTTCAACATGCTTCCACTACACATAATGGGCATAACTGGCAGATCCAACACAATGTTCAAGAGAGAACTTGATAAACACCTCCAAAGGATACCTGATCAACCAGGCTGTGATTCATACATCAGGCTGCCAGCAGCCGCATATAGCAGCCTGGTTGACCAGTCCAGCAACCAGGATGCCTGGTCAGGAACCAGGCCGCGGGCACATTGATCCCAGAAAGCATCGCAAGGTAACCCCCAGTGACATAACGTACAATGGCCTTGTAAAACACTTACCTCAACCCCTCTTTCAAGATCACGAATTTGTGGTCCCTTGGGTGCACCTCCAAATACACATGTGGACCGGATCTTTGAGGATGCCCCATAGTCCTGTGCAACTGTTAGTATCTGCTGGGCAAGTTCTCTAGTGGGGGCTAGGATGAGTGAAATTGGACCATCGCCTCGCTCCAAATATGGTTGGTTGTTTATATGCACAATTGCTGGCAGGATGTATCCTAACGTTTTGCCAGAACCAGTCTGAAATTAAATGAATTGGGAATGAATACATTCTTTATCACAGACAGTATTTATACAGTATATGAAAAATTCCTATCATTTTATTGAAGGACAATTTTATACAAAATATTCTCACCTGGGCAATACCAACAAAGTCCCTTCCCTGAAGTGCAATAGGCCACCCTTGACCTTGAACTGGTGTTGGTTGTTCATAGCCTAGTCTTCTGATTTCTGCCATAACATAGTCCGGAAAATTATAATCGCTAAAGTACTGGATGGGGTTTGGGATGTTCTTGCCACGTAGTGTAATTTCCTTCTCATTCCTGTATGAAATATCCATTGAGAGCAAAAGAATTACATAAAAAAATTAAGTCGTTCAAACATTTGAGAATGAAGGGCATTTCAACACATAAATGTATTTCTTCTTATTACTGTATTATTATTATTATTGAGAAAATACACTAGGGCTGTAAGGTGGCACGAACCTACGACCAAGGCATTGCTAGCCCCCATACTTTACCACTAGACCACCACTGACTTGTGTTATGACCCCAGGTAGCCTGAAGAACGAATCTACCGCTATGAGAATTATTCGACCAACTAGACCCAATTGAGAGGTCAAAGGAAATGTATATGTGAATATATATTAAATACTTGGCAAATGTTAATGAATAGTTTAAAAGCATGGGCAGAGGATGAACATATAAATAAGTGACATGACATGAGATGTCGAGATTTTGCTGACAAGGTACGAGGCTCACTGTGGATGTCACGACCTCATTTGAACAGCAGAGGTTGTGAGAGGAGGTTGTACTGTGATTATACTCCTGGCAGTAAAGGAAGAACTCCTAGTTGTATGCTCCATCAAGAGGAGAGAACCAGTCGGGCGTTTATGTATGAAGCCCGAGGATGACTTAAAGTGCTCAAGTCAGAACTAGGAGAAGCCTTGTGAGCAGAGGGAGGGGGAGGGGAGGGGTTGGAGGGAGGAAGGGACTACAGGTAGGGGGTGGAGGGGGGACGGGGGAGGCGGGACACAGCTGTGAACAGAGTGACAGAAAATACTAATTCACAAAAAGAGGGGATTGAGGAGATCATTCCAAACAAGGAGAGATCGGAGAGTCACGGCAGCTCAAGTAGTGTGTGTGCACAGGACAACGAGGCCAGTGTTGGAGCCGCACCCCTAGATATGTGACGCTGAACCTCTCTCCAAGATCAAGAGGCGTACAGGGTGATCTCCTGAGAAAAATTCAAGCACTCCAGAGTTCATTGCTGGTCGACCGACGGTAGCAGGAACATGGCTGCCGAGGTCGGTTGTCTGTTCCGGCAGAGAGTGGTTGGGGGGGGTGTTGTCTACCTGTACGCAAGTAACAGTCTGGTGCAGCAACTAGAGCTCTCTTTGGAGGTTCCATAAGCTCCAACCTTCTCAGGTCACGACATTTGCAAGGCATACAATCAGATTTCTACTGAAATCACAGTAAGTCTGGAGGCCCCTACTGAAAGCCAGTCCCAGTGTTTACACATGATCCACAACCACTCGGGTGGAAGGCCAGTGTGGTCCTACACCTTACGCACCAACTTCAGAAACACAGAGATCACATTTACGTGATATATATATAAATGAGAAAATCTACTAGGGCTTTGAGGTGGCGCAAACCTAAGATCTTGGCATTGCCTAGCATATGAAGTCTGTCTGAAACATGTTCCTTTGAGGAAAGCCAGAAAGAGGTCCAATGTAGAAAGATAACACAGACGACATTACAAAAGGAGGAAGAAATTAACAGAAATGCTTAAGCAGACACGACTCTCCATACAAAGAAGAAATAATTTAAACAAGGAGATTGAAGAAATCGAACAGAGACTGAAGAAAGGCAACTAGAACAGAAAGCAATTCAAGAAATAAAGAAAAACCCAAAATATTTCTTCAAATATGCTAAATCAAAAGCGAAAACCACTGCCAGTATTGGACCTATTCGTATTAGTGAAGGTTCATACACTGAGGATGACAAAGAAATTAGTGAAATCCTCAGCATGAAAGTGGAAGATTCTGATATTTTCTTTATGAATGATACTCAAACACCTGTAAATATAACTGATATCAACACGAGCGTGGCAGATTTTGAAAGAGAAATTGACAATATGCCAATGCACTTAGCCCCGGGTCCAGACTCATGGAATTCAATATTTACAAAGAAATGCAAAGTGCCAGTAGCACAGGCACTCAGTATAGTGTGGAGGAAGAGCTTGGACACGGGAGAGATACCAGATGCGCTTAAAGCAGCAGACATTGCCCCTCTACACAAGGGTGGTAGCAAAGCATTGGCAAAGAATTATAGACCAGTTGCACTAACGTCCCACATAATAAAAGTATTTGAGAGAGAGATCAGGAGTCAGGTCACTAGATTCATGGAAACCAATGTCCTCCACAATCCAGGCTAACATGGATTTAGAGCAGGAAGATCATGCCTCTCACAGCTGCTTGACCACTATTACAAAATCACTGAGGCATTAGAGGAAAAACATAATGCAGATATACACAGATTTTGCAAAGGCATTCGACAAATGTGACCATAGAGTGATTGCACACAAAATGAGGTCAATGGGTGTAACTGGTAAAGTAGGACGCTGGATACTCAATTTCCTGTTGAACAGAACACAATGAGTAACAGTCAATCAAGTAAAATCGAGTAGAAAATCAGCAGAAAGTAACATGATGTTTAACAGTGATAAATTCCAGGTACTCAGATACGGCAAAAATGAGGATCTTAAACATAATACAGGGTACAAAACACAATCGAATCTGCCCATAGCAGGAAAACAGCATGTCAAGGATTTGGGAATAATGATGTCCGACGACCTAATGTTTAGGGAGCATAACCAAGCAAGTATTGCGTCAGCCAGAAAAATGATAGGATGGATTGCGAGAACCTTCAAGTCCAGAGATCCCATCACAATGGTTGTACTCTTCAAATCACTTGTGTTGTCCCGTCTTGAGTACTGCTCAGTACTCACTTTCCCCTTCAGAGCAGTTGAGATTGCTGAAATTGAGGGAATACAGAGAACATATACGGCACGCATAGACGAGATAAAGCACCTAAATTGTTGGGATCGTCTCAAAGCTCTCCAAATGTACTCACTAGAAAGGAGACGAGAGAGATACCAAATAATATACACATGGAAAATACTGGAGGGACAGGTCCCAAATCTACACAGTAAAATAACAACGTACTGGAATGAATGACATGGAAGAAAATGCAGAATAGAACCAGTGAAGAGCAGAGGTGCCATGGGCACAATCAGAGAACACTGTATGAACATCAGAGGTCCACGGTTGTTCAACGTCCTACCAGCGAGAATCAGAAATATTACAGGAACAACCGTGGACATCTTCAAGAGGAAACTAGATTGTTTCCTTCAAGGAGTGCCAGACCAACCGGGCCGTGGTGGGTATGTGGGCCTGCGGGCCGCTCCAAGCAACAGCCTGGTGGACCAAACTCTCACAAGTCAAGTCTGGCCTTGGGCTGGGCTTGGGGAGTAGAACAACTCCCAGAACCCCATCAACCAGGTATTGCCAGCCACATACTCTACCACTGGACCATCGTTGGTTTGTAGTAAAAGACACAAGTTTCCTATGTAGTAGACTAGGTTTCTAATGAAATCACAGGAAGGATGTGTGTGTGATGTGGTACGACCAAGGCATTGCCTTGGTCGTACCAAGGCAATGGTCGTACCACATCACAGCTTGGTCGTATCATTGCACAACCAGTACTGGTACTTGTAATAATAATAACAAACGGTTATTATTACTGCAAGAATGGAAAACAAAATTTGAAATTTCATGTGCACCTGGAAATCAACCTAAAAATTGGTGCGATATTTGAGGGTTAATCCAACGGTGAAAGCATGTTGGAAGACATGTCCACCAGACACTTTTATAACAGGAATGAGCTTTTGTAGTACTGTAACCCCGCAATTATCCGGGATTCAAACATCCGGAAAACGCCCTTATACGGCCAAAATCGTGATCAGATAAAGTTATCACAATATCTGGCCAAAATGGCCACAGGAACCGGATAAAAGCTGGTTTGGCCGGATGAAAATTCGGCCATACCGTATTAATCCCATCTGTGGCTCTAAACGCATGGTGGAGGAGGGGGTGGGGTGGGGTGGGTGGGTGGTGAGTGTCGGGAGGGACCATTTGGGTACAGGAATTACCATTAATTTTAGTACAATTAATCATAGCCAAAAAACAAATGAAATAAGTACTAGTAATTATGTAATAACAAATAAATAAGTTTCCTAAAAGCAATGTGCACAGGCTGAAGTTTCCTTAAAAAATATTGTGAATTTTTTTCCTCCTGGCGGCCTACGTAACGTGCTATAGCTGCCCCACCCCAAGTGGACCCGTCCAACACTGGTCAACCCATGTGCTCCCGTCCCTCGTGTTATACACAGTGCTGCGCCATTAGTGAAATATTTTTTTTAAATAACTTTTTTATTTTCATAGTAACTTTGAACATTTTTGGCCAAGACAATGTCTGGTAGCAAAATCAATCGTTCTGGAGGTGTTAAGAGGAAGAAAGTTGTCCTAACAATTAAAGACAAGTCACTGTTATACACCTCAACCAGTGCGGGCCTCACAGTGCTGCGCCATTAGTGAAATATTTTTTTTAAATAACTTTCTTAATTTTCATAGTAACTGAACATTTTTGGCCAAGAATATGTCGTAGCAGCATCAATCGTTCTGGAGGTGTTAAGAGGAAGAAGGTTCTCCTAGCAATTAAAGACAAGTTACGTGTTGTTCAACCAGTGAGGCGTCACAGGCAGCCAAGCGCCTTCAACAAGTGAGGCATTACAGGCAAGCCAAGTGCTTTCAACAAGTGAGGCATCACAGGCAAGCCAAGCGCCTTCAACAAGTGAGGGCATGCAAGCGCTTCAACAAGTGAGGCCTCACAGGCAACCCAAATGCCCTCAACCAGTGAGGCTTCAGCAGCTGGCAGTCAAAACTAACTTAGCTTAATGAACTGTACAGTAATTTTAAGTGTTAATTTTAGTGTTGTGTTAGTATAGGTTACGTAAATTGTTAAGAATTTTTAACTTCAAGATGTGTGGCATCAATCAAGAAGACGAACACCAACAAGGTAAGTTGAGGTTTCTAGTTGAATATTTAATAATAATATGTGGCAAGGCAATTCAAATTATGTTGTTTGTAGTATAAAAATAGTTGGAAATGGTCACTTTTTTACTCGTAGGTGAAAAAGTACCATTATCCGAAAAATGTGATAATCCGGCTGGGGGTCCTTCCCATATAGTCCGGATGATCGAGTGGAGACAGTACTGTAGTTTATAGTTTAGTACAATAAAAATCAGTTAATATAATTGTAATGGACTTTCCAAAAAATAGGAGAATTACATGAAGAAAATAAATGGCAACAGCTGTAGATCTAATTATGAAAGTTATCTAATAAATACGTGTACATGTATAAAGCTTAGGAATATACATAAATATAAAATACATGATAGATGATGATTGGATACATGAGCCTAATTAACTATTTTGTGGAGAGTAGCATGCGTGTGTAAAGGCAATGACAGGAATTGTCTGAATATTTCTTATCAAATGATAATGATATGCAAGATCAGAGGATATGGTAAAAGGTTGATGGTACCTTCAAGAAAAAGAGGTGAAAGACAAAATTCAGAAATTGAGGAATTAGTGAATGAGTGCAAAAATCAAGTTGTGATCTTTGAGCAAGACTATAAATAAAACCTTGAAAAATGGAATATATTCTAGGAATGTTAAGAATGTCACAGCAAGGGTCACACAAGGAAGGGTCTGGCCAGAATCAGCAACTAGGTATTGTAGTATCATGCAGACTGTCGACATCTCTTGGCATTACACACACAGATCACACTAACGTGATGCATCAAATGAACAAATCCACTAGGGCCATGACGAGGATTCGAACCTGCATCCGAGAGCATCCCAGACACTGCCTTAATCGACTGAGCTACGACAGGGTAAAAGAGATCTTGTGGATTTGTTCATTTGATGCATCACGTTAGTGTGATCTCTGTGTGTAATGATGTAAGGGCAAAGAGGGAGAACGGCCTATTGACACAGCTCGTGTGCAGGGGAAATTGTGTAAAACCCTGGTTTGTGCCTCGGAGAGGCTACGGGATCCAGTAAGTTCAGTAGAACTTCGGTTTCAACTCTTTTACCCTGTCGTAGCTCAGTCGATTAAGGCAGTGTCTGAGATGCTCCCAGACGCAGGTTCGAATCCTCGTCACGGCCCTTGTGGATTTGTTCATCTCTTGGTATTAATCCACCAATAGGGTCACTTCATGTGGAAATCGGACCCTGGGTGACTACAAGATAATTTTCCCACACCATCACAGTCGAGTAGTCGAGTCTGGCCCCAGGCCGGGATCGGGGCGTAAAAGATCTCCCGAAACCCTTTCCAGGTATGTTCCAGAAAAGGGTATTACATCAAAAATGGGATAAACTAAGAGCTTGGATTTACACACACATATACCCAGTACACACAAGGGATATTGGTAGAAAAGTTGGGTTCGTTTGACTAACACTTGGGAATCACTGGTTTGAATGCCAGGCGGAGTATGCCAGGCATACTCCTAGAGTATGTAGCTCTAGCCTGGAGTCCATACCTAGTTAAACACAAGACAAAGTTAAGAGAAAATTCAGGAGGTATGCCACCAGACTGGTCCCAGAAATGAGAGGTATGAGCTATGAGGAAAGGCTAAGGGAGCTGAACCTCACATCCCTGGAAAACAGAGGAGCAAGAAGAGACATGATAACCACCTATGAAATTATCAGGGAAATTAACAGGGTGAACAAAGACAAACTCTTTAGCATGGGCGGAACACGAACATGGGGACCCAGATGAGCCACAGAGACATTAGAAAGAATTTTTTCAGTGTCAGTAGTTAACAAATGGAATGCATTTAGTAGTGATGTGGGAGGCAAACTCCATACACAGTTTCAACTGTAGATTTGATAGAGTCCCATAGGCTAAGGAATCTGTACACTAGTTGATTGACAGTTGAGAGGCAAAAGAGCCAGAGCTCAACCCTTACAAGCACAACTAGGTGAGTACAACTAGGTACCTATTTACCTAGAGTACATATTTACCTAGCAGTAAATAAGTTCTATTAAGCCTAACACAAATTAATAACAATCCACTTTAAAATCAAATTTTACTTGCCTATATTTTTCAACTTCATAAGCTGGGCGATTGAGTACTGTAGGTGTAGGGTGATAGAAGTTTTTCTCAAAGGGAGTCAGTCTGGAAAGGTCCCATCTCGGTTTCCGAAGACGCTCACCTGGCTGCCTTCCTTTCAACGATGGTCGTCCACCACCAGCAGAACTCCATCCTCCACGTGAACCCCAGTCATCCCTGTCACGTCGACGATCACACGAGCGAGAACGAGAACGGGAGCGAGACCTAGAAGGGGACCTTGGGATTAACTATTTATAAATGAACCTGAAAATGAAAGCACGAATCATGTTGAGCCACTTCGTTCAATCCACGAAGTTGTCATCCTGACAATCTTGGACTGAAGTGGTTTTTCTTTGACTGGTCCTTAGCCCTTAAACCACTCAATACATATTTAGCTGGGGTGAGTAACTATTGGGGAACTGTTCACCACAGCTATGTGTGTGTGGGAGTACTGCGCAAGATATGAAGAAGATATCTTCAAGATATGAAGCAGTCCTGCTGTCACAGACTGCTAATCTTCGGCAACAGCAGGCCCAGAAAGAGAAAACTGAACAAGGGGTTGCCACATACCCACATCCTGGGCAAGGACAGCACAAACATGCAAAACTTACACAGTGCCAAGGCAGCACCATAAAAAAAAAAAAAAATCGCGACAAGTCGAATTGGCCCTCACGCCACACAAGCATTCAGATACAGTATAAGAAAGCCATGCCATACCCCCAAGGAAAACAAAGGTTACCTGGAACCCAGAACAAATCAGGAAATTCATATGGTAATTAATAAGAAATAGCTAACCCAAATTCAAATGATGTCCGACATATCAAAGATGCAAGGTCCTGATCCTAAACGAGGAACTGAAAGGGCTGATCTCACCGCAGAAGGCAATAGATGGCAATTTGGAAACCTACACACTTGACTCTAGGAAATACTCAAAACCAGAAATGCAGACAGGAGGAAGCCACAAAGGAATCCATATCAAATAACAGAGGGATGCAACATAATCTCCACATTAATCTAAATATATATCCTTCCTCAGAGGAACCAAACCAATAACCAATCAGGGAGAAAAGGCACACAGTTATCAAACTCAAGATCTTCCCTGGCCATGGATACCCCAGAAATGGGATTGGGGGAATGGCCAGAGTAGAATCAAGCTCCACAGGGCACTGGAGCAGGAAGAGCATAACAGTGAACACAGTGCAAAGATTAATTCAAACATGATTAATTTAGGTGCCAGGCATTATGACCGAAGGTTTAAGATTGGTAGTTTGAGGAGAAAGGTGTACAGTCCCCTGGAGGTGCACAAGCATAACTAAGGTGAAATTACTTCACCAGGAAGCAGTTTGTGAATCTCTGGGCTTTGCTGCCCATCCCTATGGTTTATTTACCTTTCTGCCATGTTTACTCATTTTCTGGTGGCCTTTCTTGACTACCTTTCTGGTGGCCTTTCTTGACAACCTTTCTGGTAGCCTTTTCTTGGTTAGGGTGATCTATGATCCCTCGCACCTCTGTAGAGGGTGCCAGATTTAGGCCTCTGGTCCCCGGTAGGCTTACATATGCTTTGCAAGGACCTGGCTTGGATTGAATTGGGTGGAGATTGCCAGGCAACAAGCACCAAAGCCACCATTAGGCACCTCTCCCAAAGAAACAAAAAGATTGGAAAACTTGCAAGAACAAGATAACGAACAAAAGTAAAATACTGTACAGAGACAATGGGAGAAGAGTGACATTTTGTAGAGATCAAGAGTAATATGTCAGCCCATAATACTATTCAAAATCAACAGCATCTCACCTGAACCACCTTGTCCAACCACTTGGGCTGGACGGTAGAGCGACGGTCTCGCTTCATGCAGGTCGGCGTTCAATCCCAGACCATCCAAATGGTTGGGCACCATTCCTCCCCCCCCCATCCCATCCCAAATCCTTATCCTGACCCCTTCCCAGTGCTCTATAGTCCTAATGACTTGGCATTTTCCCCCTGATAGTTTCCTTCCCATCAGCTGAACCACAAACTTTTAACATTGCAACCTCACCTTCATTAACTTGGGTCTGTTGAGCAAGATTGAATACAGTATAAATTTATATGAATTTTACCAAATGATACACTGAAGCCATTTAATGGCAAAATTATTTATAGTCACATGACATTCTTGAAGATGAAACATTGAAACAAACTGTAAAATTATTTTTTTTTTTAATATACAATACACCATGTATCCAAGATATACTACTTATCTTAGTAGTATTTCAGTAACAAAACCAAAACCGCACAATACATTAATAGCTGTTTTAGTGTCTAGAACCTTAATTTAAATGCCCTACGTGGGATAGGAGCAGCTATAATGCAGCCACGACCGATAGTTGACAAACGCCACCTAGAAAAAAAAATTGTAGCCAACATCCCTGGGTGTGAGAGCTTCAGTATTCAGTGAGCCACCAAGGCCGACGCATGCACCATGAGCGCACAGCACTGCTGTTCAGCTTGTGACCACAGCATTGCCTTAAAATGTCCAAAAATATATATAACTTGTATTATTTAGCCATGATAGTATTACAGAAGTCCGAGTGTGATAAAACTGACCAGGATTCTGATAATAGCAGGATTGTGGTGATATTTAGCGCTGTGTTCCATAGAGGGAGGAGTAATGCTGTGGGACGGAGGGTGGGGGCGTTGTCTTCTGACTGTGTGGGGCCACCTTTTATTGACTGCACTCACCATACCAGCTTAGTGGTTCGCTGTGGTGAACACAAATGTAGATACTTATATATAACGTGTGTATAGTGTAATAACAGCAACAGGAGTAGGTTGGTAGCCGCCATTTTGGTGAGGGAGGTACGTCGTCTGCACGACTTATCATGTTGTTTACTGGTGGCCACTATGGTCTTTGGGCACCATACCAGCTTATTTGTACAGGTATGGTGAATAAAACAGGTAGATACTTATTACGCTATATACACACATTATATACAACACAACAAACAATATTGTTGGAGGAGAAATATTAGTGTGTCAGGCGTTGAGGACGGCCGCCACCAACTGACTGAGTAGCTATGTCTTTACCTTTACTCATCATAAAAGCTTTGATATACAGTTATGGTGAATAAAACATGTAAATATTTATATATAACATCTGTGTATAGTGAATAAATGCAAAAACAGTATTGTGGGAGGAGAATGAGGGCGAGTGAGGTGTTGTTGATGGAGGGAGTGGCAGGAGTGGCTGGCTGGTGTGTGGCGGTCACTCCTTGTTGCATTTTGATTCAATACCAGCTTCAGTGGTTCGTTATGGTGAGAAAAACATGCAGATACTTATATATAACCTGTGTATGCAGTGTAATAACAGCAAAACTATTTGTTTATTGTTTTATGAACAGAATAATTGAATCACTAATATGCACACCATAATTTTGAGTACAGCGATGGTTCACACATTTTATTATATAAATAAATCACAATACACACTACTGAATAATATTACTTAAATAAAACAAAGAAAAAATCAATCAGACATTGAAATAATTAGGTAATATATTTGTGGCAACTGCCGCCTGACAGCTCGGGCGGAGTAGACCTCGTCTGGCAAAGGCTCTGTCAACGCCCCTTTTTTGCCAGACTTCCCTACCCTATTGCGGCTAAAATATGCCACCTACGATTTTTTTGTTATTTGTATCCGTGATCAGGAAACACAAATGAGCACTTTTATAAGACGAAAGAATTTTTTTTTTTTTTTTTTTTTTTTTGCACCTTGTGATCCTGTGGTCCTGGGTTCGATCCCAGGTGCCAGCGAGAAACAATGGGCAGAGTTTCTTTCACTCTATGCCCCTGTTACCTAGCAGTAAAATAGGTACCTGGGTGTTAGTCAGCTGTCACGGGCTGCTTCCTGGGTGTTGTCAGCTGTCACGGGCTGCTTCCTGGGGGTGGAGGCCTGCTCGAGGACCAGGCCGCGGGGACACTAAAAAGCCCCGAAATCATCTCGAGATAACCTCAAGATGGATTGGTAGCTGAATAACTACCGAAACTACTTTTTTGATTACACTGCTGTATTCCGCACAGAAAGCTGCCCTGGTATGCCAAATTTCACACCTCTCTGGGCACTAGTCGTGATTTAACAGAGTCAAAGTAGGTAATTTTTGTGATATTAACGCACTAACGGGACGAGAACCCATTCAATATGGACCTGTTATTTAAGAACCAAAGCAGATTGAGCTCTAATATTTTGCACATTTTCATTTGGGGTCTAGGGTTACTTTATTACCAAATTTCATTAGATTTAGAAAGGGTCGAGTGGGAGGCCTTTGGTGAATTCACATGGAGTGACCCACAAGTAAGCCAAGGACCATCAACCAGTGAAGCCTCACAAGCAAACCAAGGACCATCAACAAGTGAAGCCACACAAGTAAGCCAAGGACCTTCCATCAGTGAAGCCTCACAAGCAAGCCAAGGACCATCAACTAGTGAAGCCTCACAAGAAAGCCAACAGCCTTCAACCAGTGAAGCTTCAAAAGCTAGCAGTCAAAACTGACCTTGCCAAGCTCATGTACTGTACAGCAATTTTAACGGCAAAGCTCATGTACTGTTAAATAATTATAGGTATTAATTTTAGTGTTTTGTTAGGTTAGGTTACGTAAATTTTCAAGAATTCTCAACTTCAAGATATGTAGCATCAATCAAGAACACGAACTACAAGGTAAGCTGAAGTTTGTTTAAAATTAATTACAATACTGTACTTCAATAGTTTATAATTATAGTCTGTGTGTGTGTGTGTGTGGCAATTCAAATTATGTTGATTGTGGTACAAAAAATTGTGAATATGTTAACTTTTGGACTTCTCCAGTAAGAATTCTGCTTATCTGGCAGGGGAGGAGGGTCCTTCCCAATATAATTCGGATAAGCGAGCTTATACAGTACAGTACTGACTTATCGAGTTATGATGAAAAATTATAAGTGGTTTCCTTGTCATCGGAGCGTTTCTGCGAGCTCCTAGAAAATGTCACTCCTAGAAAATTGCAATGTGCAGCATATAATATACTGTATACAGAACTAGCCATTCCCCCAATCTGAAGACAATGTTATAGTTTGATACAGTACTTTGCGAGTGCTTATAGGCGAGTGTGGACTACAAACCTGCAAAATTAAGACATTTCACCAACATGATTTCTGTTACGTATACACATTTCTTTACGTTTTAAAGATGTGTTAAAATGCTGACAACTGAACCCCAACCAACCAAATACAACATTATTTGCAAACACCAGTACACACTACACTGCTATAGACACACTGGTCCATATGAGGCATGTTTTATTTACACGTGTATCTACCACCACTTGGCCACTGGTTCCACTTAAAAACTCTGTATACCAATGCTTACCTAAAACTTTTATATCCATATTTGCCCATTTTGAGGCCATTATGAACAAATAATAAAATCAGAGCAGAAGCACTGAAAATTAAATTTAGAAATACAGTGGAACCTCAGTACTCAAACTTAATTGGTTCCAGAAGGCTGTTCGAGTGCCGATATGCATGAGTACCGAATAATTTTTCCAATAAGGAATTATGTAAATTCAATTAATCCATTCCTGACCACAAAAAACACACTAACAAAGATAAAATAAATGCAAATTTATGCCCACTTTTTGATAATTCATTGCATTGGGGGGGGGGGGGGGACTGGCAGCTAGGGTGTATTTATAGACGTTTGGCTTATATCAGTGCCTGCCCCCTTCCCCCAGGATGCAACCCCACAACAAGCTCACTAACTCCTAGATACCTATTTACTGCTAGGTGAACAGGAGCATTAAGTGATAGGAAATGAACCAAACCATTTCTGTCATGCCCGGGATTCGAACCAAGAATTCTCGATTTAGAGTTGAGAACAAACCCAACTGCATTAACCAGGACTGTTTAACTCTTGAATAGTGACTATGGAGAAATAGTCATATACGTCTATGCAAAAAAATTAAAGAATTCCCAAAAATAATTTTTTATTATACTGTAGAATTATTAATTTGTATGCAAAATGTAAGAAAAACACAAAAATACGTGAATATTTATTTCACTGGGTGGAAGTGGCTGTGTCTGGCAGTTGTGAACACCCTGTGCTCGACTTTGCTGACACTTCCTATTTTATCCTTGGAAGTTTCACCTATTGTTTAATCACTTGTTTTTCATTTACACCCACAGAGAGCTCTTACTGTATATCCATATTTGCCTCATACATGTAAAAATCTAGACAATAATTGTTTAAATCATGATATGATGATAACCACAGTACCCTAAGGATCGTCAATAGATGATAATCACTGCCTAAGGGTCAACTTTACCTGTACTTAGGAGAACTGATAGTGTAAGTAGAAAGCTGTGAGGAAGGAGAGAGGTTATTGTTGTAAAGAAGTTCCCCTACCAAAAAAAAAAATTCAGGTACAGTAATTGTGTTTCTGGGATTCTCTCTCTTTTATGTCCTTTTATATTGCCCTCTTGACTCGCTAGATGCTTTTCTTACAAGAAACCTCACAAATGTTATTTGTTTTTACCATTATTTTAAAATGTTTCTAAAGTGAGACACATTGTCATTCAACAGGATTTTAACGTGTTAAAGCTAACCTAAAGGTAAGGTAAGGTGTTGCCACAGCTTTGTCAGGGTGATATTTTTCAATAAAACTTTGTACTTCTACCCATTTTGCACATATTTCTTTTCCCTGGAGGATTGGACTTAAGACATACCAAACTCAGTAGTAAAAGAGAGACACGGATACCACTTTCATATTCTGCTAGTTCTTTTTCCATCATGGTCCTAACTAATTTTCTTTTCGTTTGGCTGTTAATGCTAATTTATTTGGTAGCAAGATGACTTATTTACACTAAGAAAATAAAAAAAATATACATGAAACACAAATAAGTTTTCTGGGAAATTTAGTGGGGTTAGAAACTGACTTGTCTGTAACGCATATTTATGTTTGAGTGCCAAGCAAACATTCGACTACCAAGCGTTTCTATTCTCTAATAAAATGTTTGAGTGTCGAATTATTTGAGTCCGGAGAAATTCGAGTACCGAGGTTCTTCTGTTCAAATATTAATATACCTGTAAATTATCACTGTAGACGTACCGAGAAGAAATTCCACAGCACAGTACACCATTTCTCCTAGACATATACATACCAAGTTTGAAGAGATCTGTTAAGACCATTTCTTAGATACTGAGAGAAAACCAACACGCTCCTATAAAAATAAAAAATTTAATTAGTTTAGAATACCAATGAAGGTATAATGATATTACAGAACTAATCGACATGCTCTGGCATATATTTGTTTCAAATCATCCTGTTAAGACAGGAGTCTTAACAACATACAACAAAGTATACATGCTTTTTATTACCTAAGTGAAGGTACATCTAAGTTTATATTACCTAAGTTTATGTACATCCATAAACAAGCACAATACCAGTACAGTATACAGTATATTCTAGGTTGGCGCCCCTTTTTTCTTTTCCTTTTAATAACCAGAGTACTGGTGCAGATATCTTTACATTTTTTTTGAAAGACTGAGAACTTCCCTTCACAAAACTCATCTGAAGATTTACTCTACTTTTTGTATCCTTTGATAAATGCTCCACTGATCACCATGCAACCCTCCCAACCCTTCCCAAGTCACCAGGAAGGTGCTGCCTACTCTCCCATCCCAAGTCACCAGGACGGGGGCTGCCTATTCTCCCCTTCCAAGTCACCAGGATGGGGGCTGCCTACTCTCCCCTTCCAAGTCACCAGGATGGGGGCTGCCTACTCTTCCCTTCCATGTCACCAGGAAGGGGCTGCCTACTCTCCCCTCCCAAGTCACCAGGATGGGGGCTGCCTATTCTCCCCTTTCATGTCACCAGGATGGGGGCTGCCTACTCTCCCCTTCCATGTCACCAGGAAGGGGCTGCCTACTCTCGCCTCCCAAGTCACCAGGACGGGGGCTGCCTATTCTCCCCTCCCAAGTCACCAGGATAAGGGCTGCCTACTCTCCCCTTTCAAGTCACCAGGATGGGGGCTGCCTATTCTCCCCTTCCATGTCACCAGGATGAGGGCTGCCTACTCTCCCCTTCCATGTCACCAGGATGGGGGGCTGCCTACTCTTCCCTCCCAAGTCACCAGGATAGATGGCTGCCTACTCTCCCCTTCCAAGTTACTAGGATGGGGGCTGCCTACTCTCCCCTTCCAAGTCACCAGGATGGTTGCTGCCTTCTCTCCCAAGTTACCAGGATGGGGCTGCCTACTCTCCCCTCCCAAGTCACCAGGACGTGGGCTGCCTACTCTCCCTCCCCTCCCAAGTCACCAGGACGGGGGCTGCCTACTCTCTCTCCCCTACCAAGTCACCAGGATGGGGGCTGCCTACTCTACCCTCCCAATTGTCCCCACAGCAAGTGCTTTCTCCTCAACCTCCAAGTCCCCACAGTGCAAGTTATCTAACCCGTCCAAAGTTCCCACACTAGGAGCTGTTCCCCCCTTCCCTTCAAAGTCCTTACAGCGAGAGCTCTCTCCAACCCCCCCTTCCAAGTCCTTACAGCAAGAGCTGTCTCTACCCCCCCTTCCAAGTCCTCACAGTGGGAGCTGTCACTCTCCCCACCTTGTCTGAACAGTGGGAGTTGTTTCTCCCCCTCCCCAAGCCCTCAGAGCAAGGGCTGCAATCCACTTCCCCAAATCCACACACCTGACTACATGGTCCAATAGCAGCACAGAATGAACCAAAATTGCATCATGTTAAATTCATATTGTGCAGTATGTAAAACCATTCTCCTGGCATGACATGAATATAATTTTTGAAACAAAAAAAATAAGGTACCCTTACTGGGAACTCCCAAATAAAATTTACTTAAAACTATTGTCAAATCTGAGATTTGCTAGCTCTCAGCAATCGTATTTGCATACAGATAGATAGAGCCCAGTAGGCTCAGGAATCTGTACACCAGTTGATTGACAGTTGAGAGGCGGGACCAAAGAGCCAGAGCTCAACCCCCACAAGCACAATTAGGTGAGTACAGACCCGTGGGAACTGTGCAGCAGTTATTTTGTAGCTCAACAGTTCATGCAACTAGCAAGGTAGATAACCTCTCTACCAACCCTGCCATATATGAAGCCTATTAATCTAAAGTTTGATTTTAAGGCTAATTCACAAATATGGATTACTTCCTCAGACACCATATAATCTATCTTAAGATTCTTATGCAATTTGCCCACTAAAGTCTACACATCAACCATAACATTTGTTACACAAGCTTTATGTAGTTGCTGTACCACAATCCCTCATTAGTAACCATTTCTAATTTTCAGTTCACAAACTATGCTATGCTCAATATATTTTGGGGATATAAAAAAAAATCATGAACAGGTAACTATTGCTGTGTATCTGATAACAAATTTAAATTCAAATCAGGTAAACATTGTATTAGCCATAACTGGTGGAACAATATGCCAAGGATTATGTCACCAAAGGTAATACAGTACCTTGGTCACCATAATTAAGGTTGGTAAAACAAGTGAAATTGGTTGGGTTTAAACATACCCTGCCTATGGGCCAGCAGGCCTACTCTACTCTAATACCCCTCTTCTCAAGTTATCTCTAAAGTATACAAACTATAATTACAAATATTGTTAAACACAATTATATTTACTGTGGTGGAGACATTTAGAAATCAACATTTCACCATAATTTATTTTTATATATTATAACTGAAAATTTACTTTGAGATATTTAAATAGCACAAAATTTGTACGATACAAAACGGAAAAAAATGAATTGATTTATGCATACCAGGAAATATACATACTTTAAGGTCAGGTTAATATGCACATTTTAAAGATGCCAATGTCTACTTAACAATATCCTGCACCAAAAACAAATTCATTTAAAATTTGAAGAGTCTTGTACTTGACGAAGTGTGTAGGTTAAGTCCTGTCTACAATATTTACTTTTCTGTTCAATGTGGAGTTTGAGTAATGACCGTGGGTATGTAAGGAGCCAGACTGCGACATGGCTGGGACATCCTCGGGAGAAATGACCTACATCTTTCATCACAGCTCTAGTACGAAGAACAGCGGCACCAAAACCATTTGCCGGGCAGAAGCACCGAACATAAAGTGAGGGCCAACACAGTCCACACAACCCCTACACACGCCACACACCGGCCACAGATGATAAATCGATGCTGCACACACCTCTCGCCATATTGGAAAACCTTCGCAATGCTTAACACTATTTACTCACCTGCGATTTCTGTATGACGACATGACGGCGTTTCTCTGTTCTTATCAAGACTAAACTCTTAAATATTACTGTAACAGAAGCAGACAGCTCCTATGAGCTCAGAAAACGGGACAAATATTCTGAGAAACGGAGGTATGTGAGGCAGCCTCCTTACGGAGCACGGTGGGAGGCCGTGTGGGTGGCGCTGCACGGTTGCCAGATCCCAACTGCTGGGAGTAGCGATCTGACGGTCTAAAAGTAGCGAATTTGTAAAGTAGCCCAATCTTTTGTTGATTTTTTTATTAACAAACTTAGGTATACACAGTAATGTGCTGCTACCCTATTCTATATGAAAGATTACACAGTGTAGATCAAAAACTAGCTATAAATTCATCTAATATCCCCATCTCACAGGATGGTTAATCGTACACGGAATCAGGGGAGAAAATACCAGCCTCAGTACAAAAACAAATCAAATCTTGACTAAAAATCAGGAGAGAACATAAAATGTAAGACTGATCTATTAGCCTCCACTAGCAAAATCTGGGTCGGTCCGTCTAATTACCCAAAGCTACCCAAATTTACTCAAAGCTACCCAAATTTACTCAAAGCTACCCAAATTTACTCAAAGCTACCGAAAACTTCCTAGCATTAAGTAAGTAATGAAGAAATATGATATATTTACTCACTATATTGTTGGTATTGAATGTAGAACATGAAAAAACATATTTTTACTTTGAAATAATATAAAATTATAACAAAATTAGACGAAACTAAGTAACATGAGAGGCCATAGGACGTCGACGATCCAAGCGACAATGTTTACATACAAGAGTTTACATTCTTGTAAAGCCACTAGTACGCGTAGCGTTTCGGGCAGGTCCTTAACCCTAATTTCCCCGGAATACGACCCCGCCGAATCGTTTAACAACCAGGTACCCATTCACTGCTGGGTGAACAGAGGCTACAGTTAAGGATTGGCGTCCGGTCAATCCTCCCCGGCCAGGGAATGTTGTGGAGCGACTTATCCAAGATGAACAAATTATTCAAAATATATTGTTGCCTAGAGGTTATATTAAGTTATGTTTGGATAAGTTAGGTTTAGCTAGGTTAGGTTATGTTTGGGTAGCTTGGTTAGGTTAGGTAGGTACAAGAGGCTCATATGTCTGCAAACATTGTCGCTTGGACCGTCGACTTGCTTTGGCGTCACTAGTAGCTTATTTTCGTCTAATTTCGTTATAAAATTATACTTTTTCAGAGTAAAAATATGTGTTCATGTTCTACATTTACCACCAACATTATAATGAATAAATATATTATATTTATTCATTAATAACGTAATGCTAGGAAGCTTTGTGTAAGTTTGGGTAGCTTTGGGTAATTAAATGGACCCATGTGGGTACAGCACAAGAATATTTGTTCACAAGAATATCTTCCAAGATGCCTGAGTGTATGAAGTAATTACAGAGCTCAAAGTACCTCATACCATTTTGTCTGAAATCACTTATAATAGGCAATCACCGATATAATTGTTGAAGGGTATGTCCCAGCTCTTGTTCACATAGTTTATAACTGGAATTTTCATAATTGGGAGATTAATTACCTGCAGTCACCTGCCATAGATATCGATATCCCAGCCTAATTCTGGCAATTACAATGCCACACTGTCTGTTGCCCGTACATATAATTCTAGTTATGCCCGTAGTTAATTATGCCCGCACATAACATGTCATAGCTCTTTACACTCGATTTAGAAGAACTAAGAAATGCCCAGAGACCTGAAAGCTGCAGTATTAAAAGTTATGACAAGTTTTGTATTAATAGGTATTTGTATGGTCAGCACAGTAACCGAACCAGGCAATGTGATGTAGTCATTGCGCGAATTCGCCTTGGCTATAGACACATCTGGCAGGTTAGTGAGGCTGAGCCACTACCAGAATACTCAGATTGTAAACTCTGTGATAAACCTTTAATGCATTCACTAGAACACTATATTGTTGAATGTGAAACCGTAAAAGACTTTAGACCTCCTGGCCTATTGTACCACCAACTGTGTAACTATCTTATTGACTCAGGTGTTCTGGACGACATCCTAACAATTTATCCAAAATTTGCTTGTCCATTTAAAAGAATGAAGAACAACTTTTATATATATTACTTCTAAGCTGCATCACTAATGAACCCATCCCTGCCCTTGTGTGGCAGTGCACAATAGAAAGTTATTTTCACATATCCATACATTAAAACATTGATTGTAACCATGATATATATGTACTTCCGCCTACAGTTTAGACCTATTGTCTTATGTATGACCCTCTGTCCTGCGTGACAGTGAATACCAGCATTATCCTCACTTTAATAAGACTTAATCGAAATCCTCAGATTAGGCAAAATTGTAATTAATTTTGACAATAAAGATGTTAATAATAATAACTCGTGCTTTCTAGCCTTAGTGTGTCAGTAACTGCTTTCCTGTTTTCCCTAATTTCCTGAAATATTGCGGCTTTTACAGCAGAGATTGGAATGTCCATATCCAACTCAACTTCAGGCTTATCACATGCAGTTTTAGCTGCCTTGTCTGTGTCGTCATGATGGACAACACCTATGTGAGATGGAATCCCGAAACGCTTTGCGTAATAGTCGCTTTAGGCTTTGTATGTACTAGCTCTATCTATAAATCCATCAATGTTTGTATCTCACCTTGTATGTATGTACTTTACCTGAATAAACATTTGATTTGAATGGATTTGATTTAATTTGATATAAATGAGACTCTGAAACTCTTATTCTTTGCATTAATAATGTTGTTTATAATGGTTGTTACAACATTCCTAGCGTCTATTTTGCATGTTGGGTTTTTAAGGTCCTGAAGAGCTGACTTTGAATCACAGTAAATTACTCCTCCACTGTTCTTCAGTGCGTTAGTGGCAAGTTGTAGTGTAGCCAATTCTGCAAGTGTGGAGCTAAGTCAGTTATTGAGTCTCACACTTGTGGTCTGTGTACATATGTTGTCTTTGTATATTCTACAGGCTGCTGCAGTGCGACCTGTTGATATTTGAACAGACCCATCAGCGTAGTGCTCATCATAGTGCTCGTGAGGCTGTAAGTTATTCATAAAGGAATCAATGAAGTGTTGTTGCTTTTAGGAGTGCTTGGTTTTCCTTGCTCTTTTTGCTGATAGGCGTGTAAGACACTTGTCTTTCAGGGTACAGATATAATGGAATATCATTGGCTAGTACTTTGCATACAATAGGAATATTTAGTTTAATGAGATTGGCAACACTTCTACTCAACTATGCCCGCTGGTGCGTTGGCAACACTTTCCCATCTACAAACAGCACTAGTCAGTTTTTATCTAAGTAGTAAGGGTGATGTTGGATCTTTCATCACCCTTATCATCACTATCAGCTATACAGATGACATCCTTGTACGTACTAAAAACCCACCGCGAAATGAAAACAATCTTAAATTGTATTGATATTCTAAAAAAAAAAGAAAAGCGAGTTACCCGCAGTTCATAAATGTGATCTCACTGATGTCAACAATTTCAAGTTTATATCAATTCTGCTAACCTTGTCAAAAATATTTGAAAAGCTAATCTACAAGCAGCTTTACTCTTATCTAGCCAAACACAATATACTTAGCTCTTGCCAATATGGCTTCAGACCCAAAAAAAAGCACTAACGATCCACTGATTAGTATATTAACTTGATACACGCAGCTCTTGATAAAAATGAGTTCCCTGTTGGGTTATTTGTTGACCTACGTAAGGCTTTTGACACTGTCAACCACCAAAACCTTCTTCTTAAATTACATCATTATGGAGTCAGAGGTCACTCCCTCCAATACCTTCAGATTTACCTTACTGACAGAGGCTCTAGTATGTTTCTGTGAATAATTCCATTTCTCCCACCTTACCCATCAACATTGGTGTTCCACAGGACAGCATACTTGGCCCTCTCCTCTTTCTCATCTACCTTAATGACCTTCCAAATGCCTCTCAACACCTGAAACTAATTTTATTTGCTGATGACACAACTTTCATTTTCTCCAGTCCTGACCCTCTTACTCTAAATGTCACTGTGAATACTGAACTAAATAAAGTCCATCTTTGGCTAACTGCTAACAAACTCACCCTTAATATTGAAAACTTTCTACATTTTGTTTGGTAATAAATCCTCAAATGAAATTAATCTAAGAATAAACAATATACAAATCAGTAGTGAAGTTGATGGTAAATTCCTTGGTGGCCTCATCGATAACAAGCTGAATTTCCAGGGACACATTCTAAATATAGCAAAAAAAGTTTCTAAAACTGTTGGCGTTCTTTCTAAGATCAGATATTATATACCTCGCCCTGCCCTGGTGACACTCTGTTATTCTCTCATCTATCCTTATTTCAACTATGGTATTTGTGCTTAGGGTTCTACTACCCAAAATCATTTACGTCCTCTAATTACCCAACACAAAGCTGCTATTAGAACAATATCTATCTCTGGCCCCAGACAGCACTCGGTACCCTTACTCAAATCTCTGAATGTTAGATATTAAGTCACTGCACATCCTCTCATGTGTACTCTACATATTTAAAACTCTGAACTGTAATGTCAATCCTGACCTTAAAAGCTTCTTAGGAGGTTGTAACAGAACCCATGGGCACCACACCAAAAACAAATACCTATTTGATATTCCAAGAGTACGACTTAATCAAACTAGAAATGCTCTACAAATCAAGAGACCCAGAATGTGGAATGACCTTCCCAATCATGTCAAAGGCTGTACCTGTCAACCAGTTTAAGATGGAAACTAAGTACTACCTTATTAACTTCATTTAACCTACCTAACCCCATAAATGTCAACCCATGTCTAACTATTTTTAAACTGCTGTTTGTTGAGCACCTTGTTTATTGACTATTTTGTACCACGTTCCCCTCTTTTTTATCTTTAATTTTTTCTTTCAATCGAATTTATACTTTAAGCTCAATTACTATTAGGTTTTAGTCTAATTTTTTTTTCTTCCACATCTTGTCTGAAACGCTATGCGTATTAGTGGCTTAAGGTATTTGTATGTACTAACTCTTCCTATAAATAATCAGAATGTTTGTAACTGCATCTATGTATGTACTTTTCCTATATAAAATATTATCATCATTATTATAAAACTAATATCAATATAGCTATAGGTTAAGTAGTAATTGTAAGAAGCAATAAAATGCTTATCTTCAAAAATACTTAAAATTATCTGTTAGATTAAGGACCTGCCCGAAACGCTGCGCGTACTAGTGGCTTTACAAGATTGTAAATACTATGCTATGTATTCTCACAAACCCAATGTACCTTCTTGTATATAAATAAATAAATAAAAACTAAGACGGTTAGGTTAGGTCGTGATTTTCTATTCAGCTTTACAGGTAAACTCAAATATTCACAATATATTTGACTACGAATTAATAATAAGTGTAAGTACAATTCCTGACTGTCATACATAGTACATAATTGCACTTATGGGGCTGTTACATTTACCTCCCCATTTTTGGAGGATGGGCTGACTAGTAACAGTGTACTCGCCTATTTGTGCTTGCGGGGGTTCTCTGGCTCTTTGGTTCCACCTCTCTCTCAATTAATTGGTCAATCTATGGTGATGTCTCACTTGTGAGCCTCTTGTTGAATTACTTGTGATGCTTAAGATTATCGATGTGTATATGTATGTGTAAATATATATATATATATAAACGAAAGTATGGTACATATATATTCACATATAAAGTTATAAAAAAATAAAGTAAATTTAATTGGTCGTAGAAGGCATCAATGTTTACAGTGGACGCATCACCAAGTCGCCGTACTGCACTGCTTGTGCGCAGCTCTGAGACTGACGCTTCATTTTGTAGAGCCGCTGATACGGATTTTAGAGCAGTGTTTTAATACAGTAACACTGCATGATTGTATTAATATCACTGCATATCTTGGAGATGATTTCGGGGCTTAGCATCCCAGCGGCCCGGTCCTCGACCAGGCCTTTTTGTTTCCCGCCCCCCCCCCCCCTCTTCCCGGAATAAGCCAGTAGCAGCCGTAATTCCCAGGTACCCATTTACTGCTAGGTAACAGGGGCATCAGGGTGAAAAACATTTTGTCCATTTGTTTCCGCCTCTACCAGAGATCGAACCCGGAATCTCAGGACTACGAATCTAAAGCGCTGCCCACCCAGCTGTTAGGCGCCCTAACTTGGAAAAAAAAAAAAAAAAAAAAACTATTAGACAAATATTTGCTTTATGACGCATAATTTACCTGGTAAATTATTATTCATGCCACAAATATTACTAAGTTATCCAATTATCACTATTATATATGGGTGTGAAGTCCCACCACGTCTTCAGTAATTACTATAAGGAGTTATTGCACTACTACATCTTATTTGGAAACAAATCAACAAATGCATTTCAGCTTCAGGTAAGATGTTAACTAAACTTAATTAACAGTAATGAAAATGATTGAACGTTCCTTGGCTTATATTTAGACAAAAGATTCAACTTCACTATGTCCCCGTTCTGAAACTCTTCCTAGACAGATTTAACAACCCATAAACATCACACCAAAAATAAATGTCTACTCTATATCTCCAATCAAATGCAATTGTGTAACTGCAAATGAAGGGACCTAGTTTATGGAATTCACTCCCTAATGAATTTAAAAGCCGTCCAACTTTAACCTTATTCAAAATTAAAACGAAAAAGTACCTAATTTTATCTTCATGGTTTCCTACCTAGTGCTACCCAATCACCCCCCCCCCCAAAATATATGTACCCAAGCCATACAACTTTACATTTTATTCACGGCTGGCATCTTACATGTTATATTGTACACAAATTTTGCAATATTCCTCAAATTATGCTACCAATACCACTCGAATTTTATTTTAATGCACCCACTGTTTTTTATAATGTATGTTAACATTTTATAAATTGACGATAACCAATAAGGGTTAAGGGGTCTTTTCTTTATTTTGCAATCCTTTAATATAGAATTTCAGCTATTTGGGCAGGGCGTAAAATGCATGGACATATAATCTTTGGCTGCTTCCTAAGTCCAGTAGGAATAAAGGGAAATCTTATAATTTGTCATGCATAGCATTCACAATCAGTTCCGTTCGGATTTGTCCACCTTTGCTTGTTCAAGCGTTCACTGAAAATCCCAGTCTCCTCCCTCTTGCAAGTTCCTAGTGTTTGATTTTGTTTCGTCTATGCAAAATCTAGAACAGTATATCTTATTTCTGTTAGTGATTGAGTTTGCTCACTCGGATTTCAAGATTCCTAGTTTACCAATTAGTTATATGGTTAGCACGATCTGGAGTGCTTAAAAAAACAAAAGGAACTACAAAATCAATGCAGTAAAGCACTTTTTTTTTACAACTGTATATTTAATTATTCAGAGGGTTACAAAAATTCTTGGTCCATACACAATTTTCTTTAAATTAATGAAAAATAATATCCTCTATACAATAACGAAACTAGGAAATTCTTCCTAAAATCACAATGGAATATTTGGTTAAAAACAATTTGATAATCAAGAACATGCTGACATGACTAACTCCACCAGCTTTTGGACAGTGATGTTTACTAACAATGACGTCGTTGGCTTAAGCAGACAGCAGTCCCGTAGACTAGGAGGAAAGGCGTAGGTGTCCGCAAACTGTAATGATGGGGGGCGAAACTTTCCCTACCCTTGACAACTGGGCCTGTCAAGCACTTAGTGGTAACAATCGCAACCTCTAATCTCCTAGAAAGGGGATGGCGCAGCAGTAAGCAGTCACCTCCGGCACGGACTTCAGTAAGCTGTAATAAGATACCAACAGCGTCAATGGTAAACATAAACTAACTACAATGGACTCTCGCTCGAATGGACAGATTCGCACCAGACCCTGTCCAGCACGAAATTATTTCCATTGTGCCTGAAATTTTCTATTTTATACCAAGAAATAGTGTAAATTATATACTTCCATACATGTATCAAAATCACTAAACTGTTACAATTTTTTTTTTCCTTTATATCGAACTCCAGTCCAACAAATGTTTACTTGCTATGCGAGAAGCCATCCATTTATTTACCGTTGCATCTGATCACAATCTTACAGCAGCATGCAATCCTTCCTTTGCGTGCAGATTGATTCCGTTCGAACAGGAGTCCACTGTACTGATAACTACTGAATAGAACACCTCACTTGCCAAACATGCCATGCCATCTTAAAAATTCACTTTGAAAGACTTATCAGCATGTTGGAATGGGGAAAATTCCAATTCTGTGTATACAATATACTAGGATCAATAAAATATTTTAGATACAAATGATGAGAAACCTTGCCAAGTGAGGCCCCATCATCAGTTCAGTTACAAGAAGAATCAGAGGAGCGGGTGAACTTGTTTCGGTGATGATGAGTCGCCGAGGCAAGAGTTGAGGCGGCCACTTGGCAAGGCCCCAGTTGGAGAGCAGGAGGCAGGAGCTTGACTAGCACAGCTTCGGGGTCACTGACGCGGCCAGTTCAGTGCACTAGGCATGGTCCCCATTATGCCCAAGCCACCAGCAGTACCAGCTACAGTGGCAGCCTGGTTGAACATGCCCACGGCCATGCTAGCTCCCACGTTCCGGACGGATGGACGTTGGGGGCCATTAAACTGGTTCTGGTTAGCTGCTTGGCTCATTGAAGGCTTCACAGAACCAGAACCCATTAGTGGAGGAGGACCATTCAGACGCGTTCGGCCTGCACCCACCCCATTGGGCACAGCACTGCTATTGCCTCCACCTCTAAACTGGTTAAATCTTCCAAGCCCTTCAGACGTACCATAGCCATTTCCATTGCTGTAGCCGTTCCTTCCTCCACCACCACCACCACCAACTCGACCGCGATCACGATCGCGTCCAAAACCTCTCCTGTCATCATCACGGCCCCTCCAACGATTACGTCCTGAAGAAAAAAATTATTTTAATAAATCATCTTTTTCTAAGAATCTAGTCCAAATTTGAATGGATAACTTACAACTGAAGTAGATGTGAAGTTCATTTACCTTTGCCACCACCACGTCCCATATCCATGATTTCATAAAGACGTGGATTTACTACTTGATTTGCCTCTTTCAGCACTTCTATTAAATCCCTAGCCTGTTTGCCATTGTCCGCTGTTAAGAACGTGTATGCAGTACCAGTCTTGTCTGATCTTCCAGTTCGACCAATGCGATGGACATAATCTTCAGAGCATGACGGGTAGTCATAGTTGATCACGAACTTGACATCATCCACATCTACATAGTAAAAATAATGTTAGAAAAATGAATACAAGTCAATAAAACTGCAAGGTTCCAAGCTTTAAAGGAAAGCAAATAAGCAATCAATAGGAATTTAGTCTATGTTGAAATAGCTGATGAGGAAACTTTGCAGTTCTCTAGGCCATTATATGTGAAAAATAATTCAATGCTAAAGATGCATGCACTTTAAGTAAATATGAAATGGCCATTACCATGTTTAATTCTAACAAACATAAACCGCATTTCCTTATTTTCATCATGAAACAAGCCTCTTCCACAACACCTGTGGCTTTCACACTAGAGCCCTCAATGGGTGCACACTCATGACAACTTTTACTTTTAAATTAAACAATTGGATCAATAGAACTTTACTAGAAACCTAAATATTACTGCGAGCATGCACCCCACATGCCCCCAGCAACCACTGCTTCCCGCAGAGATACCTACGTTCCACATGTGGCAGAGCGGGAGAGGCAGCGGCAAGTGGGGGCTGGGATGGACTCTAATGGAACATCCATTCCCTGGGCTGAGGGCCCTGTGTTTGAGGTCAGGGCTGGACAAGGGCCCATGAACCACAGGTCAGGGGCTTGTGGCTTGTCACGATGCTACAGTAGTGAATTTATTGACAATTCCAGGATGGACATGCCAGGTGAGACCAGTGCAGACTGCTGCAGACCAGAGTGGGTAGGAGGGGACCAACACAGGCTGCAGGTACCCATTAACTTAGGTCTGTTGACCTCTGCCACCATCTGATAGCCAAAGCAAAATGACCATCTGTCTGGTGGCACCTGTGGACACCTGGCACCAATGCGCATGTTTTCTCAAGGATGCACGACGAGTCTCAGAGGCACCGGAGCCTAATGCAACGAAACATCCTCCGTGCATTATCTCTCTATGAGTGCCTCTGCAAAAGAAAAGACCAGACTGAATTAACAGTGGCTCCATGCAAGGGAACTGCTTCCTTAACCTCTGGAGGTACCAACAAATATTTTAAGGGAGGCTTTTGTGTTAATTATATCAATATAATCAGTGATGTCACATACCCCAACAATAAGCTAGCACATGACAGCATCAGTTCAAAGGAAACTTAAAATAAACCCACTCTTCTATATATCTATATATAAACAGTTTGGTATCTTCTAACAAGCAAGATCTGAGCTGTATCAAATTCACTGTGCTCAAAATGGATAATACATCAACTTTAATTAAATTCCGCTTGATGTAAAATCTGAAATTTCAAGCAAGCCGTCTTCCCATAATCCTAAGGGTTGTGTAATTTGTATAGCCAGTCCAGATCTTCCTTAAGAGCAAATACCTAAATATGGTCTTTTAAAAGTTTAAAGAATTTACTAGATATCTGCATGTGGGCAATCTTAGAAAGGTATCCCTGGGCTGGAATATCAATACAAACAGTGCAGTAATAACGAAACATGGATAAGGTGCTTGTCCAACTAGGATTTCTGTATTTAACCTTCCATTGCATTTGTGATGGTTGAAATACACTAAATTAGCAATTGTGTGGACTATTTTAATGCATATAACTACTAGATTGGCTACAATTTAATTATAAAATTAATCTTTAAAACTTGACAAATCAATAGTGTGTTTGAGCTGTTCATAATTTCAGCTATCAAGGGGTACCATTTGCACCAGGACATAGAAATGCCTTGAGCAGCAGCTACACTGTTTGCACTATCACCCAAACATCCCCTCATTTACAGATACCTTTCTTATACCAGCATATTTTGTAAAGTTCCAAGCCAACATGCTCAGGCATTCTCCAAGTGACTGCTACGTTTTTTAATGAAAGGAGACGGGAAAATGGGGGGAGGGGGATTCCAACCAGGGATACCTACTGAAGGAGCATCACAACAAGTCTGGACAATGATGCATGCTTACACCTGCATCATGACCAGACCATCACTCCAGAGCCTTAAGAAGCTATAGACAACCACAGGCGTGGAGCCTGTCTCTACATCATACAGGTGGAAACCGTAGCCACTGTCAGCATGTGTGATCACCTGCAGTTATCGCTTCAAGCCAAACGCTTTTTCCCACTATATGAAACCACCTAATGTACAGTCTGGACTTAATCTTGGTACCCACCCTTTACTAATTTACCTTTAAAAGACCCTCCCAGTTAACCCCACTAAAGCGACTAACTGGAAATTCATACTTACCTAGCCCTCGAGCAGCAACATCTGTGGCTACCAAAATTGGTGCCCTTCCAGACCGAAATTCTGAAAATTTCAGACATAACATAAGATAGATTAGATTATTCATATAACATTATGATTATTCATATCATAACAGTTAAATATAACATGCTACATGCCATGCCATAAGCATGGCATATAGCACATGTGAATTATAAATAGCTCACCATTTAAAACCCAGTCTCTTTCCTGTTGTGATTTATCTCCATGAATACACATTGCTGGCCACCTGGGGAGAAGGAGGAGGAGTAGGAGGAAGAAAAATTGCAATTAATAACTTCACTTTTAGTTAATTACTGTATAATTCAACTTTCATTAATACCAATGTTAGTCCTTACATTACAAGCTACAATTTACAGACCCAAGGGACACAACACGCTACAAGTGACTGGCAATAAACTTGTGCATTTGCTGTGGGGAGGGGGACAAATTTACACGGCTACATCTAACTACTGTATATACAAGCCAAATTAACCTCTCCAGGTCAGATGGGCACTCGTAAACCCGAGGCATCTAGTATGGTGCATACCAAGAACATGCCTCTCTTATCTTACCCAGTACTCCTCAACCCACGAGTAACATCCTCCACCTTCCTCTTGGTTTCGATAAAGATTATAGTCTTGTATGCCCTCTCCTGCGCCATCTCATTGAGCAACTGGCGCAGCCTACAGAAAACAGGGAAAGGGGGGTGTAAAGGAAATGCAACAAGCAGGCATCGCAGACTTTGCTAGGTTTTGGAGACATTAGGCCTGTTAAATGATACCTCAAAACAGAGGTGACATTAGCCACAGCAGCCAAAAATGCAAAGTCTGCTCTGTGTCCCAAAGGCCTGAGGTAGCTTCAGGTAGAAGAATGTCACCCAGATCCTTAGGATCTATCATAAAAGTGCATTTTCTTTACCCTTCACGTCTCATTCGCCTGGTCAAATCGTCGACTTTCCTTTTTGTTTCAGCAAACACGAGGATCTTGCTTTTCTTTTCTGCCATGATTTCTTCAAGAAGCTGCCGGAGTCTATGGGGCAAGGCAAATCATAAAAAACAGCATCGGGCTACACGTGCTCAAAAAGTATTTAGCCTTAAGTGATAAAAACTTACTGATAAAATAACAGGCAAGCAGACCACACTTGAACACATTTATACATATTCATTACCCTTTCAGGCAGTGGGAAGTACCCTTCTAATAAATGGCAAGTTAGATTTTTTTTTCCCCATTCACCCACCAGTGTGAAACATGTAGGACTATTCCAGACCCTCAACAATAGTGCTTCACACTAGTTCTTGGTCCAAGTCTTTCATACTGAAGTTCATACATGTACATTTCTGTAAATGTATTGTACACCCACATCCTTCCTGCTATTACTTTCCTTATCTTCCTAACCTTCAAGTTCGCACCAAGTCGTCTGTCTAGCAATTATTTCTACCACTCATTCATACTAAATCTTTAAAAATCACAGTTTGCTTAATCTTTCGTGCACACTTCTGGGAACATCTATCCATAACTTTCATTTTACAAGGATTTTTATGGTAATTTCCTTCAAACGTTTTACTTTAACACCTAATCATTTATATATGCCCAGTGTGTAAACAATCACTTCCAGCATTTCACACAATTTGCCTTTTCCACCTTTAACTTTGTTCACCTACATCATATGCCTTATTTTGGGGGCTTACAGTAATGACTGTCAACCACTAGAAATGAACACCCATATCATTTATTTTACTCCAAGTGTGATCTTTACAAACTTTGATTCATTCAGCTTTACATTTGTGTAGTGGAAAAATAAATGGCCAAAATTTTCTATCTGGCTATCATTACCCAAATGAACATTACAAAACATTAAAATATTGGAAAATGTAGCACCATTACCCAAAAATATTTTAAATATTCAGAGTATTTTTGGTATTTTTTCCATTAAATATATTTGTTTTCTTAAACCCTACAAGGAAAAATTAAGGTGCAACTATTACAATTTCAGAAATATCAATGAAATATATCCAAGCAAGTGCATAGTACAAAAAAAAGGAACACCTTTTGCATGGAAACTTTAAATCACACACCAGAGATCAAACAATATGATGAGGTTACATGTTTTTCTAGAGGTTTACTACGAAATCAATCACCATAATGTAATCATGACGTTATTCACGTTTCTATATATATAGAATAAGGTGACAAGTATGCATGTCCTGTGTAAACACTACTGCCTTTTTGTATCATTTCATCACAAGTACAAAATACTCAGACAAGGCATTAAAAAGAATGAATGTCCAAATACTTTACGTTACCTCCACTCTTTAGCCACACTATCTATACTATACCTGCATAAGCACTTTACCAAACACCTGAAACTTTGAAATTAGCACCAAGTGAATTGCATGCAGCCTCTACCGATCTTCCTACTAAAATTAGATAAAAGGTATTTGGCAATAGAAAGCTAATTTTGCAAATTTTGAAAGCAAATTTATAGAAAAGTGAACAAATCCACAAGGGCCGATGATTCGAACCTGCATCCGAGAGCATCCCAGACGCTGCCTTAATCGACTGAGCTACGACATGGTCAAAAGGAGTTGTAACCAAAGTTCTACTGAACTTACAGGATCCTGCAGCCTCTCTGAGGCACAAACCAGGGTTTTACAAAACTCCCCCCATGCACTTGAGCTATGTCAATAGGCCGTTCTCTTCCCCCTTACTTCATTACACACAGAAATCACAACTGCGTGATACATCAAATGATTTGCATCATTTGATGCATGAAAAGTGGTCTAGTTATAAATACAAGTGCCTACCCGCCAAACACACACCGAAACTACGACGTTGGTACAACGTTCGAACAAGTTGTAACACCTAACCAGTTATAACAACCAATATAGCACGTTGTAACAACGTTCTAATGCGTCAAACACGTTAAGCTAAGATGTAACAACTTTCTTACAAGTTACAACAAGCGGAAAATAGAGACAGTTTCGGTTTGTGTTTCCAGGGTAGTTAACAGAAGAACAAGACTAGCAAGTGGCAAGATATTACCAGGACAACAGAAGACCTAGACCAGTGGATGGCCAATAGTTTGAAGCTTAATGAGCAGTGCATACACGCAGTCCAGAAAAACATTCTTAATTGGAAGAGTTAATCTGAACATTATTCATACTACAATGCAACATTAAATTTGATTACCAAAGTTATATTTAAAGAAAAAGTACATTGTCAAGCCAAAAAAAATACCAAGAACAAGAATAGTGCACTCTAGAAAGTCCAAAGTGCATTTAGCTAGGGAGGGGATCCATAGCTTTCCACTAGATTTTCAAAGGGGTCCGTGACAAATGGTCAACTACCACTGGTCTCAAACAGGCTAAACATTTCTCCAATGTAATTTAAATAAGTAATCGGATTTGAAAAATTATCTTTGAACAACTTAAGAATTATATTAAATGCATACAAGGTGTATACATTAAGACTAAAATCCCTTTTCAAATCCAAACCTTACTTTTAGTGCCAAAAGCTAACAAACCAATTTGCATAGTTTCATGTGCAGTTTTTTGTACGATACAATCTTCCTAATATTGTAGTCTGCCAAAACCACAAAAAAATACCAAAAGCATGCAACAATTTATAACCATGAATCCTATTAATTAAAACCAGCAGGATCATAAACAGGTAGTGTTGATGGCCTTTTGGAGTCATGTTATCAAAACAGGTGATGTGGATAATAGACTAGGCAGTTTAGTGTATACACGTGTGTGCACATTTTAAACAATGCATTAAATATACTCAAGAAAAATTACCTAAATCTAAATAATTAGAAAAATAATTAAATATTTAAAATTATAATTCTCACTTGGTATCCTTTTCCATTTCTTGGCAAACATCGACAATCTGAAGAATATTATGGTTAGCGGAGAGAGAGAGTGACCCAACATTCAGCTGGATGTAGTCCTTCAAGAAGTCCTCTGCTAGTTTCCTGACCTCCTTAGGCCAAGTTGCAGACCACATAAGAGTTTGTCTATCAGGCTGAAAGTGCACAACATGCATTCAGTAGAATCAAAATCAAGAAATTGTCTAGTCATTGAAGTCATTTAGAAAATTTTAAAACTACTTACCCGAATCTGTTCTACTATTTTTCTGATCTGCGGCTCAAAACCCATGTCCAGCATGCGGTCAGCCTCGTCTAGTACCAAGTATGTTGTACGCCGTAGATTTGTCTTGCCTGCTTCAAGGAAATCAATAAGACGGCCCGGGGTTGCAATACAAATCTATAAAGAAATGTTTAAGATTAATGTAGTGCAAAATTAAAAAAAAAACTAATGTACTACATATTTAAACCCTAAATTTACATTTACTAATCATTTGGCCCAGTTGCACAGTATAAGCCAGGCAAATAAGCAAGCCTCTACAGACTATGGAGGGGAAGGGGGGGCCTGTTTCATTCATACATAGTTGAAAATGACTACAATTTAAAAGTAATTATCAAGTATACACTGCAAGGTGCATAACATTTCCAGCATCTCAAAGGAAGCATCTTTGAAACAACTTCATTGCTATTCTTGCCTTTAAGCAGTCTAGATTGATTCAGACACAGGCAGCCTATACCAATTCAACAATCTTAGGCTACTAGCATTTAATTAAAAATTAAATTTAACATTTAATAAGTAGCAATTAAAACCTTTAGGTTACCTATTCACCCATATAACCATATTTACATGGTTCGTACAGAAAACCTCAATTACTAAACATACCTGCTTCACCCTGGGGATCAATATAACTTTAATCTCCCATTGACAAATTTTCAAAACCTTCGTATGTTAAATTATATTAACTACTTGCACAATAATCTTAAAAGAAAGCTAAGTAGCTGTACTACACCCATATACAAGGTTCAGTTTTAACAATCAATCCAGTAACCATTTTCTATTGTTAAAATCACCATGCACATTTAATGAAATGTCAAACTTGGAAATATGTTTTTAAACTGAACAGAACCTAGCACAATTGACAGCAGCTAATAATTACAAATTTCTGTACAACCTATACAGAACAAATTTAAAAACTGTTGTCAAAAGGGTATCTAGCAAAATTTGGCACCCACCCACGACATATTACAGTACTGCATTGCAAAATTCTTACCTCGGCCCCTCTTTCAAGATCACGAATCTGTGGTCCCTTGGGTGCTCCTCCAAACACACATGTTGATCGAGTCTTTGAGGATGCCCCATAGTCCTGGGCAACCGTTAGGATCTGCTGGGCAAGTTCTCTGGTGGGGGCTAGAACTAGTGCAATTGGACCATCGCCTCGCTCTAAATATGGTTGGTGATTTATATGCACAATTGCTGGCAGGATGTATCCTAACGTTTTACCAGAACCAGTCTGAAATTATTAGGATATGGTTAGACAAATTAAGTTTAATAAAATAAATAAAAAAATGTTTGCAAGGATACTAGTAAAGAAATAGAAATACTCACCTTGGCAATACCAACAAAGTCCCTTCCCTGAAGTGAAATAGGCCATCCTTGACCTTGAATTGGTGTTGGTTGTTCATAGCCCTGTCTTTTGATCTCGGCCATAACGCAGTCCATGAAATTATAATCACTAAAGTACTGGATGGGATTTGGGATGTTTTTTCCACGGAGTGTAATTTCTTTCTCATTCCTACATGGAAGAAAGAACAATAATCAGATCTCTGGTACACAGAAATTGGGGTAGTCCATTGGAGTCAAACAGACAAGCACACAAAAATGCAATTTTTTTTCACAGGAAAGTAATCTAAAAGCTAAATCCAATCTTCTATAGGCAAAGGTGTTTTTTTATCCAAATTATAAGTTTTAACCTACACATGGACTTATATTAAGGCCAGGTGCTCTAGTAAAGCCTCTACTACTGAAATTTGGCATGTATGATACAGTACACTTCCACTGTACTGTTCCATAGAAGACCAAGTTCCATCTGCCACTCAAAACCTTTGCATTTTTTTTTTAATTTTGGAGTATGAAAGTCCAGGGACCACAGTATTGACACCATGAAGAAATGAACTACCCTTTAACCCTCTAATTAACTATTAGTACAAAAAACAAAACTTTAGAGCTGCATCTTGATAAACTCTTAGGATGAGAGCAAAATTACGTACAGCCATGTTACTACTACTGCAGACGCCCATATTAATGGGTCAATTAAAAATCTGCAATATTTAATAAGACTAACAGCAGCAAGATCAAAGTTTTATTAATATCTTAACCGACAAAGATTTCACATGTCAAAACAACTTGCCTGTATTTTTCAACTTCATAAGCGGGACGATTGAGTACTGTAGGTGTTGGCTGATAGAAGTTCTTCTCGAAGGGAGTCAATTTGGACAGGTCCCACCTCGGCTTCCTAAGACGTTCACCTGGCTGCCTCCCTTTCAATGATGGTCGTGCACTACCAGCTGGACTCCACCCTCCGTGTGAACCCCAGTCCTCCCTACTGCGGCGGCGATCACGCGAGCGAGAACGAGAACGTGAGCGAGACCTAGAAGGGGACCTTGGGATTAACTATTTATAAATGGACCTGAAAATGAAAGCATTAATCATGTTGAGCCACTGTCATCTGCTCCATGAAGCGGGCGTCCAGACTTCCTTGCATGGAAAGGTAGTCAAAAGGTGTAGACCAGTTCTCTCCACTCCAGTCAAACTTGGAACCAACAGTAAGAAACTAAAGATGTAAAGACACCAGCCAGCATTATGCTCTCCAACCAATAAGAAACCTGACCAATGTAATCCTGGGGCCGTTTAAAGGAGTAAGGCCTAAAACATTGTGAAAATGTTCCTGCACAGATACAATTTTCAAACCTCATCTGTGTGGGACATACACAAATGAGACTGATGGCAAGATCACTTCAGAAAAAGTAACATTGGTAAATGTTGTCACACGAATGAAGGAAGGGTAAAATACCAAGAGTAGATCAATATAAAAATACAATTAGGATCAGTAGTAAGTTGAGCAAGCCTTCAATACAAAATTAATAGCATCTTGTCCTACTATTAATAGTATAGCAACTTCAGTTTAATAAACAACGAAATCCCTGGACAAAGTCCCAAGATATCAACAAATATTTGTAAATGAAGTGCAATGATCACCAGCTACTGTTAGGGGTAGTGGACACTTCCTACTGCAGATCTGAGTCTTACCTTTGACCCCCCCGCCCATCCAGTACTTGCTTTTCAACTAAATCACAAGTTACTGGCATGTTTAACCACCTACAAATGACACCTGACCAACCAAGTTGTGATTCATACATCAGACCAAGCAGCAGCATCTAACAGCCTGGGGTCAGAGACTGGGCCATTATTACAGTGATTCCCAGAACCATAACATGATACACAGGAATGATAGTGACAAAACGAAGGATTAGCCTTCAGCCTTCCCTACCTGCCCATTGCCTAAATCCATATAATTTGCTCAAGGCAAGCAAATATAGGTGCTTTCCACTTCTCCAGTGCTGTACTGTATTGTGGGGTAAGTGAAAACTTTATTGGTAAGGCTGTTGCTTATACAGTAGTGGCACATAGGCCCACTTCCATTAAAATTGGCCAATATTTTACTTTCTGCAATAACTATTACAGCATCAAAAATTTCCACTCATTGTAGTACTGTATTCAATTTCCAGAACTTTATACCCAAAAATTAATACCATAAGTTACATTATATAAAATAATGTTTCACACATTAAAGTTTTGTAAGTCTATGCAAGCATTGACTAAAAACCTTGTTGGAATTTATGCAATTTTAATATACTTTGAGCCATTTGAAACATTTACATCTTATTTAATCAAAATCTTTTAAATGCAAATTATAAAAAATTTGTCTTGCCAATTTATTCACAGTATTAAACAAAACTATTTAATCAGTTAATTCAAGATAAATTAGTTATGCATATCACATGCAAATTTAAATGAATACATTCAAAAAACTTCTAAAACCCAAGACTTAAAATTATGTAGCCAAGAGGCTACATTGGGACTAGCCTTTCCTAACAAAGTGAGTGATAGGTGGCAGGGCCAATAATAGGCAAGCCATTCAATATTCAACTCTGATAACATTATAGAAGAGCCTGACACTGTACAATGTTCAGATATCAGTGAACAAGATGCTGCTCAATGTTCAGTGCTCAGCCGGCAGCCACGGCACTGCCATTGTTTGGTTTATTAAGTGTCTTTAAAAGAGAAACTGTTCCTTTACAAAATAAATATTTTGAAAAATATTAATTTACAGGATTCAATGAACAGGATTCTGGTAACAGCATCAATGTGGCAAGAATTAGCAATTTGTAGTATGATGGGAGGAGAAATCTTGCCGATGAGATAGCGTCGTTAGCAGACTGGCGTGTTGGTGGCCGCTATGCTGTTTGGAGTCACGAAACTCCCTAGTGGTGCATTATGGTGCACAAAAATGTACACGTTTTATACAACTTTTGTATATAGTGTAATAACAGTTCTTTCTATGAATATAATTGAATCGCTAATATGCTCACCGTTAGTGAAAAAAAAATAATTAGGCAATATCTGCGAGAACTACCTCATGGCTCAGCTGGGGTAGAATAACCCGGATGTGTACTAATCTTATCAGACTTCCTCACCCTCTTGTGGCCAAAATATGTACATAATATCTTTCTCCCCGTGATCATGGAATACTATAAGGAAAAAATTCTCGCAAACAGCAGCGTTGTCAAGCCGCTCAAGCTAATAGTTTAGCTTAGTTCATTTATTATGCACCCCATACCCATCTTGTGGGCAGTAGTGGAAAGGGTTACAGACACATAATGGACTCAGGGACTGAACCCCACAATTCATTTAGCTAAGCAAGTTACAATCTTGAGCTAGTTACAAAATTCAGTACAAGTCGTCACATCATCAATGAGTTAGAGATCAACCACAAGTACAGTTTCTAAATTAAGCAACTGACATATGTGGAGAGCTAGTGTCACAATTTAGCAACACTTGGCTAATAATGGTGGAAACTGCACTTCCACCATGAAGTTTAACAGTTTTTGGCCTAGTTTTTTCAGCCATTCCTAATAAGAGCAAAATGCATGTTCTGATGACATTTACATTTAGAGGCTGCAATGGCACAACCTTTTTGAATCTACCGGAGCACTACTCTGTACCAATCTAGTAGAGTACACAAGTATACAAAAATTAAGGAATATACAAAAGGCCTATTGGCCCACATGAATCTTATATCTAACTGAAATAACTTAGGCTATTTGCAAATGGGCTACCACATTTAAGAAAAAAATAAAATTACTTTTCTGCAACCCCCAAGTCATTTGTAAATATTTGGTAGGAAAAAAATCCCCGAATGGTTTTGCCAACACTTGTGTAGAAGTAGTTGATTGTAATTATGTTTTTGTTAGAGCATTCGAGTTATTAAATAGGTCAGCATATCAGCATAGTGTGAATAAGTACAGAGAATATTAAGCAACTATTGAAAAATGGTTTAAAGTCAGATCTATGTTGATCACAAATATTTAAAAGAATATTTCAAATTAGGCCATTTATGAAATGGCAAGGAGGGTCTACATTAAATTTCATCGGCCATTCTCGACCAAAGTATCAAGATCATTGAATCTCTACTGAAATTTGATGAAAATTGCTCTACTTGACATTTGTTAAGCACCTTGGCACACACTTCATCCGGCCCCGGGGCCTCGTTAATCATTAATTTTCCTACTTTATATCCTCCCTGGTAACTACTTAACTAATCAACTTGTCTTCTCCAGAAAAGACTTATCAGTTAACCCGAGAGGCACCAACACTAGTGGGCTCAACGAGGACAGGAAGCCGGTGGCTTGTCGAAGGTCAATCGATTTGACTGATCTTTTCCAGCTGTACTTTTAAGTGTTAGTAGATTTGGCAGAGTTGAAGGCATAATGTAAAGTTCTTTAGTAAATAAGAATGAAATACCGATTTCTTTGTATTATCTTATCTGACTTGTTTTTAATCAGTCCCCCCCGCCCCCCTTTTCCAGTCACTATTTAATAGAACTAAATACACTCCCTGTACTCTACTTCATATATTTTATATTGTTTCCCTTACTACAGAATCCTATCTAGTTTAACAAATTGTTCTAACTTAGTTAACAAAGTTAACTTCCTCGTTCTTAGTCTTTTTTTAACAGACCTCCATTTACTTGTAATAAGTTTTTAGGCCCATGGTTATGCACTTGAGATATTTAGAATTTACAAGACAAGACGATTCGTAGTTTTTGGAAAAGTTTCTGCCTATTTACCAATGTTTTTTTTCCTTACCAAAGCTACAACCTTAGTTCAAAAAGGTTAAATTTTATTTTAATTTATGATCAAGGTCGTCCAGAATATAGACGTAAGGTCGGAATAAAAATTATGTAAAGCCACGTCAGCACCAGGCCGCCACCACCATACAAAGAGTACGGACTCGCCTCCATTACAATGAAGGAATTTAGTTAGTATTTATGTATAGTTACATTACGGGTGCTGGATTTATACGAAACAAAATATAATTGATAACTCCCCAGGGACAATTTGTTGCCAGCATTCCTTCAGTACTGGGCCTTGGCAAATGTGGCCTTCAGTCGACACCCATCGCACAAAATGGCCACTAAACTGCCTGCCGTTCACCTGCATCAAGTTGAACGCAAAAATTCACAGTTTTCAATAAATATCAGTTGCATACCCAGAGAAGCATTTAGGTCTGGATCCATTTACAATATTTCCTATCCTGCTACAGTTAAAGTAAAGAATGAATATGTATAAGGCAAGATGGCGACAGGTCAGCTGTGCACGACACAGAGGGAAGAAAAAGAGCAAAGACTTTCATCCTTCATCATCACCGCTCCAGAAAGAACAGCAGCATCAAACCCCGAACCATTTGCCGGGCAGAAGCACCGAACATAAAGTGAGGGCCAACACAGTCCACACAACCCCTACACACGCCACACACCGGCCACAGATGATAAATCGATGCTGCACACACCTCTCGCCATATTGGAAAACCTTCGCAATGCTTAACACTATTTACTCACCTGCGATTTCTGTATGACGACATGACGGCGTTTCTCTGTTCTTATCAAGACTAAACTTTTAAATATTACTATAATAGGAGCAGATGTTGGCTCCTGTGGGCTTGAAGATGGAAAAACTATGAGCGAGGCGGCGCGCGGCAGAGCGATGTTACAGGCGCCCGCTGAAGACCCACGTAGAAAGACAGGCTTGCCAACACCACCCCCTCACCACTCACTCCAGCCCGCTCAAAACTAGCGCAAATGCACTACACTCTACAGGAAACTTAGCTTAAACAATCTCTTAGAATAAGGACGTGAGCACCACACTTGTAAATTGCTTCTCTAAGAGATTGTTATGGCCCAGCTCTAGAAACTATTGATTTATATGTTTTTGGGTGAGGTGATATGACAAATGTTTTTGGGTGAGGTGACAGAACACACACACACATATATATATATATATATATATATATATATATATATATATATATATATATATATATATATATATATATATATATATATTACATCCCTGTTATCAAACCAGTATTTACCCAGTTCTTTCCTAAATGATGACGTTGGTGCCTTGTTGCAAGCACTAAACTACAATTTTTCTTGTTGTCCTTACTTAGACCTGGTTGAATATGACATTACCCAACTATATAACATTCCAGCTATCCACAATTGTAGACCTAACCAGAGGGGTGGTGGTACAGCAATTTAAGGTACCATAAGGAGCAACCATGTACTAAAGTTATCAAATCTAGGGACACCCATGAAGAGTATATATTATCCAAGTTCAAAATGAAGGGCCTGAACACAAACTTAACTTTGGGAGCATTTTACAGAATTCCAAACATTGATGTAGTTGAATTCAGCTCCAATTCAACTCCTGGGGATTTGTTGAATTCCACAAATCCCTAGGGCCGGATGAAGTGTTTGCCAGGGTGCTTAAAGAATGCAAAGAGGAGCTTTCCGAGCCACTGTCTACCATATTTAATAAATCAATAGAGTCAGGCAGAGTGCCAGAATCATGGAAGGTAGCTAATGTGGTACCAATTTTTAAGAAAGGAGATAGATCACTTGCGTCAAATTATCGACCAATTAGCCTAACGTCTATTGTGGGAAAGTTACTTGAATCGATAATTGCAAATGCAATTCATCTTCATCTTGAAAAACATAAATCGCATAATAAACATAAACAGAAAAACATAAACAAAAATCAATGGTTTTACAAATGGCCGATCATGGTTAACAAATTTGCTATCTTTTTATTCCAGCATAGTTGAGGCAGTTGATAGTGGTAAGGATTGTGATGTTGTGTACCTTGACTTTAGTAAAGCTTTTGATACAGTGCTACATGAAAGACTGATTAAAAAAATAGAGGCTCATGGTATTGAGGGTGCTATATTAAGTTGGATTAGGGCATGGCTATTCCAAAGGAAACAGAGTTAGTATAAATGGGGTTAAGTCAGAGTGGGATAATGTTGTTAGTGGAGTGCCTCAAGGCTCTGTCCTGGGACCTCTGTTGTTTATAATATATATAAATGATTTAGATTCAGGTTTGAGTAGCAACATTTGCAAATTTGCAGATGATACAAAAATCGGTAGGGAAATTAACATGGAAGAAGACTCACTATCACTTCAAGTTGGTCTAAATAGGGTTTTGAAATGGTCAAAGGATTGGCAGATGCAATTTAATGCTGATAAATGTAAAGTTTTGAGGCTAGGTAATGATGATAGAGTTACAAGATACGAGCTAGATGGTGTTGAAATTGCGAAGTCGGATTGCGAAAGGGATCTGGGAGTTATGATTAGTAAGAATTTATAACAAAAGGATCAACAAATAGGACACTGGGATTTATTAATCGAAGCGTTAGTAACAAGACACCTGGTGTGGTTCTTCAGCTATATCATGCTCTGGTTAGGCCCCATTTACATTATGCAGTTCAGTTTTGGTCGCCGTACTATGGAATGGATATAAATTCACTTGAACGTGTCCAGCGTAGGATGATAAGTTAATTCCCCAAATTAGAAATTTTTCATATGAAGAAAGATTAACAAACCTTAAGTTGCATTCACTGGAAAGGCGAAGAGTTAGGGGTGACATGATAGAGGTTTACAAGTGGATGAATGGACATAACAAAGGAGATATTAATAGGGTATTAAAAGTATCAACACAAGACAGAACACGAAACAATGGGTATAAATTGGATAAGTTTAGATTTAGGAAAGACTTGGGTAAATACTGGTTCGGCAACGGGGTTTTTGATTTGTGGAACCACTTACCGCGTAACGCGGTGGAGGTGGGGTCCCTCGATTGTTTCACGCGCGGGTTGGACATGTATATAAGTGGGATTGGGTGGGTTATAGATAGGAGCTGCCTCGAATGGGCCAATAGGCCTTCTGCAGTTACTTTTGTTCTTATGTTCTTATGTTCAATCTTAGAAACTTAATACTGAATAACAAGCTTAACAAAAATCAACTAAAATTAACTGGAGATTTCAATATTGACCTATACCAATATTGAACGTTGGTGTTCTGCGGTCGGTACACAGATCTTGGAATACCTTGAATAGTTGGACAAGAGGATTGAAGCTCTAGAAAAATTAGCTATGTGAAACAGATGGGTGTTGTGGGGAATGAAACGGAGGGGGGAAGAATGTAAGGAAGTGGATGGAAGACTCTCAAGAAAATTAACTATACACTAATGATGGCAGTGTTCAACCCTGTGTGGGGAAAAATGTTGACGGAGAAGCTCAGGAAAAATGGTTTACAAAAATAGAACTTGAAGACATAGTTAAGAGTAGAGTTACCTTTGATTGTAGTACGGGTGTACAAGTGTTGAGCAAGAAGAAATGTTAAAATGTTGGAAGTTTGTGACTAAGGCAGATATTGCTTCTCAATAACTTAAAATCTTGGGAGGCTGTGGACAAGGCGATTGTGCTTCTCAATGAATTAACAAAACCCCAGCAAAGCCTGAGAACATAAAACATAAGAACATAAGAACAAAGGTAACTGCAGAAGGCCTATTGGCCATACGAGGCAGATACTTGTCCAACCCGTGCTTGAAACAATCGAGGGACCCCACCTCCACAATGTTACGCGGCAATTGGTTCCACAAATCAACAACCCTGTTACTCAGTATTTACCCAAGTCTTTCCTAAATCTAGGAAATAGGAACATAGAGGGAAAAATTACTGCGTCTACGTTGTAGTCCTCCCATGTTGGTGTTGTTTGTTTCTTTGTAATGAAATACATTCTTGAAGGACATCACGTTTTGTAACAGTAGAACATAATGATCTTATTATGCTTCCACATGTATTACACCTTTTGAAGTGATAGGATTAATTCATTAGCTCCCACGCCTCTCATTAATCTAATCGCCGAAGCTTCATTTATCGCTGAAATTCTATCCCCAATGCTCTGTATCTTCAATCATATCATTATTATCTCAGTAATTGTATTTCTTGGGCCATGAGAATAATCTTGGGATTATTCTCATGGCTTCATTTTCTACCTTCTCCAACTTGTTTAGTCTGCCTTTACCAAAACAAGAAGTGACAGAGGCAGCATAATCAATAAGAGATCTCACAGTATGCCATGTGATTACCATTATAATGTGAAATGTAGAACATGTAGAACATGATTAATAATTGTGTACTGTATGGGTTTGTGAGCTCCTTGAGGGACCTTATATAGACGAAGGTAGAAATAGCCTAAGCTACTCATAGAGAGAATGCTAAGACATTAGAAAAAATGGGTATAAAGTAAGATTCATGTAAATCCCTTCACATGTGAGAATACTGTTGAATGAGGCAGTTGATGAGATAAGACGAGAGCCTCGGAAATAACTCTTGTCTTGTCAGATAACTTTGAAACAAATAAAGACAAGAATCAAGATGATCCAAGAGGATGAAGAAAAAGTTAAGAGAATGGTAATGGTGGACAGCAGTAACACACTTAATTAAGTATTATGTAGTAATAATAAATACAAACTTAATAAATAATAAATACAAATTTCAGAGTTTTGGAAAGTTGCTAATGTGATACCAGTTTTTAAGAAAGGAGATAGATCACTTGCGTCTAACTATCGACCAATTAGCCTAACGTCTATAGTGGGAAAGTTACTCGAATCTATAATAGCAAATAAAATTCGTCTTCATCTTGAAAAACATAAATTAATAATTGAGTCGCAACATGGTTTTATAAATGGCCGTTCATGTTTAACAAATTTGTTATCTTTTTATTCTAGCATAGTTGAGGCAGTTGATAGTGGTAAGGATTGCGATGTTGTATACCTTGACTTTAGCAAAGCTTTTGATACAGTGCCACATGAAAGACTGATTAAAAAAATAGAGTCTCATGGTATTGGGGGTGCTATATTAAGCTGGATTAGGGCATGGCTATACCAAAGGAAACAGAGAGTTAGTATAAATGGAATCAAATCAGAGTGGGAAAATGTTGTAAGTGGAGTGCCTCAAGGCTCTGTCCTGGGACCTCTGTTGTTTATAATATATATAAATGATTTAGATTCAGGTTTGAGTAGCAACATTTGCAAATTTGCCGATGATACGAAAATCGGTAGGGAAATTAATTCGGAGGAGGACTCACTATCACTTCAAGTTGATCTAGATAGGGTTTGGAAATGGTCAAAGGATTGGCAGATGCAGTTTAATGCTGATAAATGTAAAGTTCTGAGGTTAGGTAATGATGATAGAGTTACAAGATACGAGCTAGATGGTGTTGTGATTGCGAAGTCGGATTGCGAAAGGGATCTGGGAGTTATGATTAGTAAGAATTTAAAACAAAAGGATCAATGCATAAATGTTCGTAATAAGGCAAATCGGACACTTGGATTTATTAATCGCAGCGTTAGTAACAAGACACCTGGTGTGGTTCTCAAGCTATATCTTGCTCTAGTTAGGCCCCATTTAGATTATGCAGTTCAGTTTTGGTCGCCATATTATAGAATGGATATAAATTCACTTGAACGTGTCCAGCGTAGGATGACTAAGTTAATTCCCCAAATTAGAAATCTTTCATATGAAGAAAGATTAACAAAGCTTAAGTTGCATTCACTGGAAAGGCGAAGAGTTAGGGGTGACATGATAGAGGTTTACAAGTGGATGAATGGACATAACCGGGGGGATATTAATAGGGTATTAAAAGTATCAACACAGGACAGAACACGAAACAATGGATATAAAT